CCAGCAGCGATTCGTCTTTCCCTCGTCTGAACTCGCGGAACTCCTCCACTCTCGCCTTGGTCTGCCCCAGGAACTCTTTCTTCAGTAGCTCAACAAAACGGGCCGTCGGATTTTCTATCTCTCCACATTCCAGCTCCTCTGGCACCTCCTTCCGCGTCATTCGATAGAAAGTCTCCGCCTCGCCCGTCAAAGTCACGAGCATCCGGCGGAAGAACTCAGCCGGGTCTAGCTCGTCCCTTTCCCAACAGTACTGAACTGTCTCCAACTGCATCAAGTAATTTTTCAGAGTGGGGCCCACTCCTGGGATTTTCGGTGAAGCGCTCGGCTACCTCCAGCTTCGGGAGAGCCCCACTAGCCCACTTCTTCTCGCTCGGCCGTTCGTGCCTGGGGTCGGCCGGCGGTAACCCCGCTGTCTGGCTCGGTTCCTCGGCGTCCGAACTTCTCCTTCCGCCTGGCGGCGCAACCATGCCGGGGGTTCCTGCGCCCGGTCCGCCTCCATCCCTGGCATCATCACCGGAGAAGTATTCGTCCGTCGATCTTCCCACCGAGCTCGTGCTTCTCGGGCCCATCGCAGATCGTGTGGCGTCTCCCCTGGATCTGACGCGATGTTACGGGGAGGGTCCATGTCTCCTCGACGTTCGCGTTCGCGTTGATGCGGGGTTCGGTACGCCCCGGTCGAAAGGGCAGGCGAGCGCGGCGCTTCCGCTGCTGCGGCTTGATCCGGGTTGGTCGTCGCGGCTGCGCGCCAGCTTGGCTCCGCTACAATATCTTCCCTACGGTATCGCTGTCCGGATCTTAGTTTAAACCTATCGTTCATACTAACTACGCGTGATAGCGTGTCTCGTTCCTTGCTTGTTTGTTGAAAGTTCCTAGCCCGGACTACTCAGCTAGGAAAACCTAACTCGGCTGACTGCCTGGCAAGACAGCAACCAACACTTCAGTGGCTTGCTAAGGTTGGCACCTCCACGGGCGCAACTCTAGAGGTTTTGCTAGGATCAATTCTTTGCTTAGAGTGGAAACAAACAAGCAAGCAAGTGACACTAACCTTGTTGCTTGCCTAAGTATCATTCTCTGGTTACCGTTGCTAAGCAACGGTCTCTTTCTTTTCGCTACTTCGGCACCATTCCCCGCCGACTGCATCCTCGACTCCCGCCTAGTTCTCTACAACGGTATACACTACTGTACTCTGTCTTGCTTTTATATTGTCTCTCCTATATTCTATTCCTACAATTAAAAGCATGACGAGAACCACAAGCAGAAGGTTGCGATTGCGCCGTATGTCGAGGCGGGAGGCCTGGCACCAGTGTGTTCCCCCGTGCAGGAGAGCGAAACTCTGAGCCAACACCAGCAGCAGCGTCGCTACAGCAGCAGCAGCAGCAGCAGCGTAGGCCCCCGATTGGCACACTTACAGGTTGGTGAGGAGAACCACGAGCAGAAGGTTTCTGTTCCGCCGTGTGTCGAGGCGGGAGGCGTGGCACCAGTGTGTGCCTCCGTGCAGGAGAGTGAAACCCTGAGCCACCACCAGCAGCAGCGTAGGCCCCCAATCGGTATACTTACAAATTCGTGAGGAGCACGACTAGCAAGAGGTTCCTGTTCCTCCGCGTGTCGAGGCGGGAGGCCTGGCACCAGTGGGTTCCCCCGTGCAGGAGAGCGAAACCCTGAGCCACCACCAACAGCAGCGTCGCTGCAGCAGCGTAGGCCCCTGATTGGTACACTTACAGCATGGCACCAGTGCTTTCCTCCGTGCAAGAGAGCGACACCCTGAGCCACCACCAGCAGCAGCGCCGCTGCAGCAGCGGAGGCCCCTGAGGGTTCTCAGAAGGCACACTTACAGATTCGTGAGGAGAACCACAAGCAGAAGGTTGCGATTCCGCCGTGTGTCGAGGCGGGAGGCCTGGCACCAGTGGGTTCCTCCGTGCAGCAGTGCAATGCCCTGAGCCACCACCAGCAGCAGCAGCAGCAGCAGCAGCAGCAGCGTAACCCCGCGATTGGCACACTTACAGATTGGTGAGGAGAACCACGAGCAGAAGGTTGCGATTCCGCCTTGTGTCGAGGCGGGACGCCTGGCACCAGTGTGTTCCTCCGTGCAGGAGAGCGAAACCCTGAGCCACCACCAGCAGCAGCACCGCTGCAGCAGTGGCGGGACCCCAATCGGTACACTTACAGATTCGTGAGGAGCACGACTAGCAAGAGGTTGCGATTGCGCCGTGTGTCGAGGCGCGAGGCCTGGCACCAGTGGGTTCCTCCGTGCAGGAGGGTGAAACCCTGAGCCACCACCAGCAGCAGCGTCGCTGCAGCAGCGTAGCCCCCCGAGGGACTGCTGGGGTAGATACAGTGCAGAGCGTTCTGTGCGTCTAGCATGTGAGTGGATGACTGCTGGCGGGGGGAGGGGCGGGGAGGGGTGAGGGGAGGGGAATGATGGGGGGAGGAGGCGCGGAGGGAGGGGGATAGAGGAGATACATGAGGGCTGCTGGGGGAGACGCAGTGCAGGGCGTTGTGCGTCCAGCATGTGAATGGATGACTGCTGGCGGGGGGAAGGGGAAGGGGGGGTTGGGGGGAGGAGATGGGGTGAAAGAGAAGCGGAAAGGGGGGATAGAGGGGATACGTGAGGGCTGCTGGGGTGGATGCAGTGCAGCGCGTTCTGTGCGTCGAGCATGTGAGTGGATGACTGCTGGTGGGGGGAGAAGGTGTGCCCGGGGGAGGGGGAAAGGAAGATGGGGGGCGGAAGAGGGGAAGGAAGTTGAGAGAAGAAGTGGTCACGAGTGGAAAGGGCTGCTGGGGTAGATGCAGTGCAGGGCGTTCTGCGCGTCGAGCATGTGAGTGGAAAGGGCTGCTGGCGGGGGAAGGGGAAGGGGGGGGGAGTGGCGGGGAGGGAGGGAGGGAAGGGGGGAAATGGAGATGGAAAGAGGGGGTGCATGAGTGCGGCTGCTGCAGCAGCGTAGCCTCCCAAGGGGCTGCTGGGGTAGATGCAGTGAAGGGCGTTCTGTGCGTCGAGCATGTGAGTGGCGGACTGCTGGCGGGGGGAGAGAGAGGGGGAGGAGGGGGAAGAGGGGCGTAACGGAGGGATACACGAGGGTTGCTGGGGTAGATGCAGTGCAGCGCGTTCTGTGCGTCCAGCATGTGATTGGATGATTGCTGGCTGGGGAAGAGGAGGGGAAGGGGAAGGGGAAGGGGAGGGGGAAGGGGAGGGGGAAGGGGAAGGGGGAGGGGAAGGTGGGGGGGGAAAGGGGGAAAGTATCGCTGTGCAATCGCAAATCGCCCATTGTGCCGAGCCGTGGGGAGCGGAAATGACCTACTGTGCCCACTGTGCATGCCTTAACGATCGAGGACCCAAAGAACCATGACTGTGCGTGCCGGAGGAAGAAGGGAGCACTTCTGAGAATCCTGAATGGCAGACGCAGCATTGCAACTTGCCCCTGTGCATGCCGTAACGAATCAACGATCAAGAACCTGAGGAACCATGGCTATGTCGAAGACGCTTTTGAAAATTCTTAAAAGCGACTGCAGCATTGCGACCCGCCGCGCGGAGCGGAAAAGGCCGTACCTGTCCTAACGGTCGAGGGCCTAGGGAACCATGGTGTCGCATGCTAACAAATAGGAATCGGAAGTGAACAGTAATGAACGATAATGAACGGCTGCGAGCGGCCGCGATCGGTAAAGCACGGTACCGAACGGCTGCGAGCGCATAACGAACGTTTCTAAGCGTGACGTCACCCTTGGCTCATCGCTGGACGTCTCACCTTCACGCGCATGACGTCAGCGGCTAGGGTCATCGCCAAGGCGAGCCCGCCGACTACGGCGATGAGCACCACCACCCACTGCTGCGCCTTTGGCGGCGGCGACGACGCTGATGGCGACACGGTCCCTGGCGAGGCTCGCGACGGACTTCCGGATTCTCCGGCGTAAGATGCGGACGAAGCGGTGCCATCCTCGGTGGTGGTTGCGACTGGCTGGTAGTCGTGGCGCGTTGACCAGAACATGGCGGTCGCTGCGATATCAGGGTTTCGCTACTGTAAACGAAAACAACAAACTAAGTATAAATATAGATGAATCCTGGGCTGAACCTGAAACCTGGAACCTGTTAAGTTGGTCTTAATGGGATCTGTCAGCAGGAGAATGCTGCGGTTGCTCAGTGGTAGATGCTGATGCAGCCATCAACTGCCGTCCTGCGTAACTGAGTCTGACAAGTAATGCTCGTCTGGAGAAATGGAGCGTGAAAAGCGGAAAAAGATGTGTTGGGCCTTCTCAGAATTGAAACCACTTTGTAACCCACAATACCCTACGTGAACATTTGTTTACCGTCTTCAATCGTTCTTACTCCACTACCAGGTAGATTTGAAACGGATTTATCGGGCTCGTCAGATTTGGGTGAGCTGATTGTTTCGGGGTGTGTTGACGATTGGTTTACATGGTAATATGTGTTTCAAGGAGTTGAAGTACGGTACAGTGCGTTTAAAACCCGCAGCCTGAATTACAAAAAAAGTTGGGAGGTGTTAGGGCGTGGAACATTGTAACGACCACGCCAAATGGTTGGATGTATGGTTGTTTCTGGCGATTGCGAAGAAGTTAGGGAAACCGCATTGACTGGCACGCATATTAGTCACCCTGACTTGACCTAAAATCAGTGGTATCTCCCGTAAGTTTTTAGGGGTACTACCCGAACTATCCATTAAAAGGGAACAATATTTTACTTCCATTAATTACCCCCGAATGTGCTTGACTCATTTACTCTCCCCCAAATATCTCACACCGCTTTCGAATGCTTAAAGTCGAATTTAAATGTTTCTGATTATTGGGGGTGGGTTTTAGTGGGTGCCCTACGTTCTGGCGAACAGAATCACATAGAAATCTCGCAACCTTCGCATCTCTGTTACACCCTTCGCTTTCGCCTGAAGCAACCATATGGGCGACCATTTGACATGGTCGTTACAATGTTCCACGCCCTTAACACTTTCCCTCCCGAACCAGGGTGGTTACCAGTTGTGCACGGGCAAAACGCGATGAAGTCGCAGACAGCTCACGGAAGTGTCGCTCGGTTCCTGCGCAACCACTCTGGCCTTGGTGTGCACACCAAACTGGACACCTGTAATTCAGGTTGATAAAAACTGCCTAGTCCGATCAGCACCAGCGGCAGCCATAGCTTAGAACAGCTAGGCTCCAACCTCATTCCAGCCCCAGGCCTCATATACCCGCCTTACTCGTTAGGACTAATACTCCATTCCTTAGGTGCCAGAGATATAACTTTCTGTCCGCGTTTCTAAGGTGAATCGCCCTACTTCGTCGCATTCGCTTCTTCTCCCCGTAGTCCACACTCCGTCCCCTTCCGTCCCACACACGCACTCCCCTCCATCGCTCACGCTTCCTCGCGACAACGAGCACGCTCCCTCCCCTCCCGTCTCCTTCGCGCTCGCTCCATTGTCGCACACGCGCGCTCTGTTTTCTCGCGGATTACAATTCCCTCCCGTCGCCCACGCGGGAGCACCGAGACCGATCACGCACACTCCCTTCCGTCACCCACGCTCACTTCGTTCCCGCCGCAGACGCGCAATCTCTTCCGTCGCCCCCGCGCACTCCGTCAGTTACCTCGGCCCACGCGCACTCCCTTCCGTTGCCCACTCTCAAGACCTTCCCGTCGCCCACGCTCACACCCTTCCCATCGCCTACGCGCAATCGTTCCGTCGCCCACTCTCAATCACTTCCCTCGCCCACGCTCGCTCCCTTCCCGTCGCCCACACTCCCTTTCCATCGCCTTCGCGCAATCCTTACATCGCACACGCTCACCCCCGCTCGTCGCACACGGCCAATCCCCTCTCGTCGCACGCTGCCGCCCGCGCCGCGCTCTCCCTTTCAATCTCCTCCCGCCGTCCACGCTCACTCCACTGCCGTCACACACACACGCACCCTCCCCTCGACGGAGAGGGGGTGCTCCGCTTCCCTCGCATATGCGTTCATCTCCCCATCCCTCATCTCCCCATCCCTCATCTCCCCGTCCCTCATCTCCCCGTCCCTCATCTCCCCGTCCCTCATCTCCCCATCCCTCATCTCCCCGTCCCTCATCCCCCCGTCCCCCATCTCCCCGTCCCTCATCTCCCCGTCCCTCATCTCCCCGTCCCTCATCTCCCCATCCCTCATCTCCCCGTCCCTCATCTCCCCGTCCCTCATCCCCCCGTCCCCCATCTCCCCGTCCCTCATCTCCCCGTCCCTCATCTCCCCATCCCTCATCTCCCCATCCCTCATCTCCCCATCCCTCACCTCTCCGGTCTTCCTCTCCCTCTCCCCTCTCCTCTCATTCCTTACCCTTCTCCCTCTCCTCTCCCTCCTCCCTTTCCACTCGCCCCGCCACTCCCGCCGTGCTTCTCCCTCCCCCCATTCCGCCTCGCCCCATTCCGCCCCACCCCATTCCGCCCCATCCCATTCCGCCTGACCTCATTCCGCCCCACCCCATTCCGCCTCACCCCATTCCTCCTCTCCCCATCCCCTCCTCATTTTACCCCCTCTTCTCCCCTTCCCCACCTCATCCCATCTCCTCCTCTTTCCGTCCACCCCTCCTCACCCCATCTCCTCCTCTTTCCATCCAGGCATCCTCACCCCATTCCGCCTCACCCCATTTCGCCTCCCATCCTCTCCCCATCCCCTCCTCTTACTATCCCTCCTCTCCCTGTCTCTCCTCTCCCCATCCCTCCTCTTATTATCCCTCCTCTTACCATCCCTCCTCTTACCATCCCTCCTCTCCCCATCCCTCCTCTCCCTATCCGTCCTCTCCCCATCCGTCCTCTGTTCGTTCCTTCCTCCCTACATCCCTTCCTGTTTGCTCCGCACTTCACCTCCCCCTCCCCTCCCCCAATCGCTCTGCGCGGTCTCATTGCAGGGACTCCTCGCAGGGAAAGAAGGGGAAAGGGAGGAAAGTGCACCCACGCTACGCCTATCCCCTCACCCCGCCCTGTCCTATCCCCTCACCCCGCCCTGTCCTATCCCCTCCCCTCCCCCTCCCGTCCTCTCCCCATCCCCTCCTCTTCCAAACCCATCCCTCCTCATCACATCCCTCCTCTTTCCATCCATCCTCTCCCCATCCCTCCTCTCCCCATCCGTCCTGTCCCCATCCCCTCCTCTCCCCCTCCGCTCCAGGTGTTTCCTCCCATCATCACTTCCTCCCATCACCACTTCCTCCCATCACCACTTCCTCCCATCACCACTTCCTCCCATCACCACTTCCTCCCATCACCACTTCCTCCCATCACCACTTCCCCCCATCATCACTTCCTCCCATCAACTCTTCCTCCCATCACCACTTCCTCCCATCACCACTTCCTCCCATCACCACTTCCTCCCATCACCACTTCCTCCCATCACCACTTCCCCCCATCATCACTTCCTCCCATCACCACTTCCTCCCATCATCACTTCCTCCCATCACCACTTCCTCCCATCACCACTTCCTCCCATCACCACTTCCTCCCATCACCACTTCCCCCCATCATCACTTCCTCCCATCACCACTTCCTCCCTGCATTCCTCCCTTCCGCCCTCCCCCCTTTTTCGTTTTCCGGATCAAACTTCTTTCTCCCATCCGTTTTTCCTCCCTGCATCATTTCCTACAGTATTTCGTTATTTCCCTCTCACCCTCTTCCTGTCTCCTCCTTTCCCTCACCCCCCCTCTTCCGATCCCTTTCCCTCTCACATCGTCCTATCTTCCCCTGTCCCTTCCCCCCTGCTTCCCTCTTCCCCCTCTTTCCCCGCTTTCCCCTCCCCATCGCTCGTATTCTCTTTCTCTCCCTGGCTATTGCAGTGACTACACTGATGATTTTTCTGGTGCTGCAACTCGCTCATAGGCCCATCATCCCATGCCATGCTCGTAGAGAAAACAGTTCCCTTCATGTTTCTTTCGAGGCTTTGGAAAAGGTACAATCAAAAGTATTGTGCACATGCCTTTCTGTACCCTTCTGACACTCTTAGTGTCCATCAATCTTGGAAGAATATCTTGCACTGCAGAAACAAAATTACATACGGTACGGTATTATGCCTTTGAGATCCATCTCTTCAACAAAAATACAGTCTCATGCATGCATACAACACACAAGACACAGGTGGTGGTACGATGCAAAGCATAGACTAGCTGCGCCTCAGCTTGCTCCTCTGCTTCACCACTGAAAAATAGGGGAGATTGGAGTAGGCAGAAAGATTCGTGTGAAGAAACATGGGGGAGGTGGTGTGAGGTGCAAGGGAACAACGGCAGGGGAATACACACAAGCACACATAATGAAAGCATGTATGGGGAGACACTAATGGGTGCACATGCATGGGTATTAGAGGGCGGAAGGTGAGGAGTGAGGGGGAAGGGTAGGGCATGAAAAGGAAGGGAAGGGTTGTGAACGGCTGGGGGAGGGAAGGGCGGAGCAGGGAGGAAAAGGCAGGGATGGGGAGGGCACGTGGGAACAGGGCAGAGGGTGCAGGAGAGTGAGAGTGCGAGAGGACGGAGGGAGAGAGTGCAGGAGGAAGGAGAGTGGGGGAAGGAGGGTGGGAGGAAAAGGCAGGGATGGGGGTTCCTAGGTGGGAACAGGGCAGAGGGTGGGGGAAGGAGAGTGAGAGTGCGAGAGGATGGAGGAAGCAGGGAAGGGGATGGGGGGAAGCAGGGAAGGGGATGGGGGGAAGCAGGGAAGGGGATGGGGGGAAGCAGGGAAGGCGATGGGGGGAAGCAGGGAAGGGGATGGGGGGAAGTAGGGAAGGGGATGGGGGGAAGCACGGAAGGGGATGGGGGGAAGCACGGAAGGGGACGGGGGGAAGCACGGAAGGGGATGGGGGGAAGCACAGAAGGGGATGGGGGGAAGCACGGAAGGGGATGGGGGGAAGCACGGAAAGGGATGGGGGGAAGCACGGAAGGGGATGGGGGGAAGCACGGAAGGGGATTCGGGGAAGCACGGAAGGGGATGGGGGGAAGCACGGAAGGGGATGGGGGGAAGCACGGAAGGGGATGGGGGGAAGCACGGAAGGGGATGGGGGGAAGCAGGGAAGAGGACGTGGGGAGCGAGGGAGATGCCGGGGAGAGAGCTGGGGGGAGGACGGTGGGGAGCAGGGCGATTGATGGGGGGGAAAGGGAGAGATGTATGCAGTGTGGGGGTGAAAGGCGATTATTCGGGAGTGGGAAGGGTGCATGTGCAGGTGGGAAAGGGAGCGTGACAAGTGTGCGAGATGAGAAGGGAGAAGGGAGGGATGGCGAGGACAACGAGGAGTGGATGGGAGGGCGACGGGGAAAGAGAGGGCGACGGGGGGAGAGAGAGACGGGGATTGCGAGGGGACGAGCGGGAAGGAGGGCGACGAGCGACAGAGAGGCGACGAGACGAGGCAACGGGGGGAAGGGAGCGCGACGAGGGAAAAGAAGGGCGGCGGGCGGACGGGAAGGCAACGGGAGGAAGGGAGGGCGACGAGACGATGGGAGGGCGACGAGACGAAGGGAGGGCGATGGGCGGAAGGAAGCGCGACGAGGGGAAGGAAGGGCGGCGGGCGGAAAGGAGGGCGACGGGTGGAAGGGAGGGTGACGGGCGGAAGGGAGGGTGACGGGCGGTGACGGGCGGAAGCGAGGGCGACGGGCGGGGAAGCGGCGAGGGCGACAGGCGAGGCGAGGGTAGTAGGCGGGGGAAGCGAGAGCGACGTGTTAGAATAGTAGATTAAGTGAACACTAGGGTTTGGGGTAGGAGGAGACTTGAGAGAGACATATGTCGAGAGAGTTTAGCCAAAGAGGAAGAATTCACTATTGAGCGAGGTACAAGTAGTAAACAAAGCATGCAAAGAAGGTGCACCACCAACAGTTTATAATAACTACACTAACTACAGCTACAGGTAGTTACAGATATATTCTAACACTCCCCCATAACTGCCTGCAGCAGGAGTTTGTGCAGCAACACATCCTGCATGGGTACACCACGAACAGAGAAAACAGCATCAGCAGGCAAGACCAGTGGCAACCGGTGCAGTGGTGGCAGATTCAGCTACACCAACCCCTCAGCCAAGGTAGAAGCAACAGACAAAGGTGCATGTGGCGGCAGGTCGCCTGGAAAGCGTGTGCGTGCGGCGGCACCGTGCGGCGGCACAGCAGGGCTCAACGGCAGCACCTGCCGCTCAACAGCAGAAGACAGCAGAAGAAACAGCAGGTGGAGGCAGGGGCGGCAGCAGGAGGTGCCACGGTAGCAGCGGGCGGCAGCTGCAGATGCCTAGCTGACTTCCGCTACCGTCTCACCCTCCCCCCCACGGCAGCACACGCGGCAGTGAGAGAGAGAGGAGGAGGGGCGGCTGCTGGCTTGGCAGAATCTCTCTCTCCACTCCCTCACAATCTCCCCCATTCCCCTCACCCTCCCCCCGCAACCTCTTCCCCCCCTCACGGCGGGCCCCGCTGAAGGGAGGGGAAGGACGGGCTGCAGGCAACTCACACCCGCCACCCGCACATCCCCCCCCCCCCCACGGCGGAAGCTGCGGAAGGGAAGAGTGGGGCGCCGTTAGCTGCTGCTGGCGCTGGCGTCGTCGCTGGCGCTCGCGCAGGTGCTGGCGACGGGCGCTGGTGCTGGCGCACACGACCGTGCGCGGGTGCACACGGTCGTACGAAGCTGCGCGCAGCAATGCGCGGCCGTACGCAGCTGCGCGCGGCTGCTGCTGTGTTCGTGACAGAACGGGGCGGGGCAGGCGATGTGCGCGACGAGCAGGGCGCAACGGGCGCGACGGGGAGACGAAACGAGACCGCATCTGACGCCGTCGCGCAGCTAGCTTTGAGACCGTTTTGACGGTCGCGACCGTTGCAACCGTCGTAACTACGGCCGCGACGGGGGGCGTGACGAGCGCCATGAGCGGGGGGATACGTGGTGGGCCCATGGGGGAAAAAAAATAGGTCTTAGGACGACCTAGCTCTTAATACCATGTTAGAATAGTAGATTAAGTGAACACTAGGGTTTGGGGTAGGAGGAGACTTGAGAGAGACATATGTCGAGAGAGTTTAGCCAAAGAGGAAGAATTCACTATTGAGCGAGGTACAAGTAGTAAACAAAGCATGCAAAGAAGGTGCACCACCAACAGTTTATAATAACTACACTAACTACAGCTACAGGCAGTTACAGATATATTCTAACACGACGGGCGGGGGAAGCGAGAGCGACGGGCGAGGGAACCGAACTCGACGGGCGGCGAGGCGGCGAGGCGGCGAGGGCGACGGGCGGGGTGAGGGCAGTGGGCGGAGAAAGCAAGGGCGACGGGCGAGGGTCGCGAGGTAGGCAAAGCGCTCTCTCATCTCCTCACGCCCATTTTCTCCGTGCTTCGATTGCGTATACAAGCTGCACCTACTAATTCCGGTTGTCTAAATGGCGCTCACTCTAAAACCCTAGCTGGTATGCGATGGTTGGTGTTGAAGTATATTTGCATATCCTGTTATAACTGCCTACAGCTTGCTAGTGTATTAGTTAGATATTAGGTTCAACTGCTGGTGGTGTACCCTTTTCCCCTTCCTCTCCTTCCTATTTGTACTCACAACTTCATAATGAAAGCCCTCTTTTGGCCAAACTTCTCCCTCCATGATTCTCTTTGCTAAACCTCTCCTAAACCTAAGTACTGCATAATCTCCTAATCTTAACATGCTATCAGAGCGGGTTCCTGCCTAGGACCCGATCCTAATGGGCCCACCACTTGCCTACATGGCTAGCACTGTCGCCCCTTTGCCGTGCAGTTGCAGCCCGCCCGTAGCCCCACCCAGCAGCACGTCAGCTGCGCTACCAGCGCCAGCGACCAGGGCAGCGACCAGCGCCAGCGACCAGCGCCAACGCGAGCGCCAGCGCCAGCCCCTACGACGGTCGCCAGCGCCAGCGCCAGCCCCTACGACGGTCGCCAGCGCCAGCGCCAGCCCCTATGACGGTCGCCAGCACCAGCGCCAGCCCCTACGACGGTCGCCAGCACCAGCGCCAGCCCCTACGACAGTCGCCAGCGCCAGCGCCAGCCCCGGCGACGGTCGCCAGCGCGCCCCCCGCCACCAATTCGCGACCAGGCGCAGCAGCGCGCGCTGCACCACCTCCCTGACGCGGCTTCACCGTGGGGGGGGGGGAGGGGGGATTAGGGTGTGGCGGTAATTCTGGATGTGTCCTTTACCGTGTCGGCCTCAAAACTGTCACCACTTTCACGTGATTGGTCGAAGGTTTTGAGTGGGTTTTTGACGCGATTGGTTCTCGATTTTCCCACCAAACCTCCTTCTGGGGTTTTCCGAACGTACATTTTTTTCGTTGACTTCGTTGTGTAATTCGGGGTGTGGCCTTTAAGCTTTCCGGATCACCCAGTCATTGCAGCACACCCTTTTCTGGTGCTACTTTCACATCCACGAATGGTTATTTGTGGGTGTACAGATAATTACAGATGCTGGGTGCTCATTTCGCCTGTTCACAAAGGGCTTGTAACGAGTACAGCTAAATGCTTACGTACACTAAAATTGCCTCCAAGTATTGACTCATCGGCTGGGTGAGTTAGTGTGTGTTGTTGTGCGGGACCAGCTAGACAAGAGTCAGCTCTAGTAGTCGTTTGTGCTGGGCCTTCACATTTACCTGGTTTGTATTCTCGCCGTCTGACACGCGGATGTTGCAGCAAGTGGCAGGAGTAGACCGACTAGTATTAGACCGATTCACGTTCCGATGCGGGTTTCCGGCATCCAACGCGAGATCTTCTCTCTCTACCGCCGCCTGCTGCGCGTAGCAAGGTCGAAACCACCCGCGGAATCCGAGGCTTTGCGGGAGTACCTGACGGCTGAATTTAGAAGAACTGCGAATACGGTCGGACGGACGGAGATCGGGCGTATTGAGTACCTTCTCAGACGCGGGGAGAAGCAGGTGGATATGTTAACGAATCCGTCTACAACGGGGATTTCACTACCGCAGCTGCACCAACCCCCCTCTCCCACGAATCCTGAGTCCGATCATTCGCCAAAATCCCGCTAGTTTCTATTACCGTAGCACCCAGACGATCCAAAGCCGAGGCAGCAGGAGCAGCAGCAGGAGCCGGAACAGCAGGGGCCAGAACAGCAGCAGCAGCACCAGAAGAATGATTCTAGGAGAAGGAAAGCATGATTTGTGTGAATTCGTGCCTTACAGCTCGTGCTCTAGTTAGTGCTGCTGGGTCTTCCACGCCCTCTGATGCTTCCTCACCACTGCTGTAGACTAGACGCTGTTGGAGTGGATGCTTCCTCATTCCTACCGTGCTAGAACCATACCAGTAGCAGTCACGCTGTTGATTCTTTTCCATTAGTGGTGTAGTAAATAGATATATACTTGCATGCATTCAGGAGCAAGTGGCACCCTTCTGCAAAGCAATATTACCAATACAACTGACATTACTTTCATTTCCACAAAAAACTGCCATCCCGCAACAACCTGGCTAGGTCTGTATTGATAGGAAGAAAGAAATCCTGTAACGCTTCTCTAGTCTTAGGGTGCATTTCCTGCCCCTGCCCTTGTTCTTGCTCCCGAGCACCCACAACTGCTTGGCTCGTAACATATTTCCACGTGTCATCTGAAATGTTCTCGACTTCTTCGGAAGGCACTTGAAGGAACCTCATGGCTTGGATGAGGTGTAGCTTCGGATCTGATACATACTCCTCAAACTTTATAAAGAGGAAGTTCTTCCGGGGATAAACTTCCAGCCAGTCCTGCAGAAGGCCGAGCAGGAGAGGCAGATGAGGGAGTGACAACAGAGGAAAGGGGGTCCCAGACTCCCAGAACCCTTACCGAGATGAAGGCATAAATGATGTGGCACACATGCGGGAAGGAATAAGGTACGGAGCCATGGGAATAGAGAGGCACGTCAACTTACTGATAGGAAGTAGGCATGCATGCTGCGGCACACATGCGGGAAGGATTGGAAGAGAGCGGCGGGGATAGGAAGCATAGCAGAGGGAGACGAGGAAAGAGAGCTGCAGAGAAGGGAGCTGCGAGGACTTACCGATAGGAAGTAGGCATACATGCTGCGGCACACATGGGGGAAGGAGTGCGGTAGAGTAGAAAGCGGTGGAAACAAAGAAGCATGTCGAGTCAACTTACCGATAGGAAGTAGGCATACATGCTGCGGCACACATGGGGGAAGGAGTGGAAGAGCAGGCGGGAGCAGTAGACAGGGGAATGGTCCACCATACACCCTTTAATGGCGGGTAACACCGCATCTACGTGTCGCGCAAAAGCGTCAGCTGCACTGCTGCTGTTGTCGTTGCTGTCGAAAGCGATGTGAGAGTCGTCATGTTGCTTCGCAGACAGGAAGGAAGAAAACCAGCTGGTAGGGATTGCATAAAAACGAAGCGGGGAGGAGGAATTTTGTGAGTCGACTCAGAAGCGTCTGCTGTACTGCTGCTGCTGTCGTTGCTGTCGAAGGTGATATGAGAGTCGTCCTGCTGCTTAGCAGACAGGAAGGAAGAGAACCAACTGGTAGAGATTGCACAAAACGAAGGGGGGAGGAAGAAGGGAGAAGAAGCGGCTTGTTCTGCTGCTGCTGTCGTTGCTGTTGACGGTGATGTGAGAGTGGTCCTGCTGCTTAGCAGACAGGAAGGAAGAGAACCACCTGACAAGTATTGCACAAAAGGAAGAAGGTGACTTTTGAGTCGACTAAAAATGTTGTCGTTGCTGTTGACGGTGATCTGAGAGCCGTCCTGCTGCTTAGCAGACAGGAAAGACGAGAACCACCTGGAGGGATTGTACAAAACGAACGGGGGAGGGAGAAGGGAGAAGAAGCGGCTTTTTCTGCTGCTGCTGACATCGCTGTTGAAGGTGATGTGGGAATAATCTGGTTGCTTAGCAGACAGGAAGGAAGAGCACCAACTCGCACTACTAAGGAAGAGCACCAACTCGCACTACTAAGGAAGAGCACCAACTCGCACTACTAAGGAAGAGCACCAACTCGCACTACTAAGGAAGAGCACTAACTCACACTACTAAGGAAGAGCACCAACTCGCACTACTAAGGAAGAGCCCCAACTCGCACTACTAAGGAAGAGCCCCAACTCGCACTACTAAGGAAGAGCACCAACTCGCACTACTAAGGAAGAGCCCCAACTCGCACTACTAAGGAAGAGCACCAACTCGCACTACTAAGGAAGAGCCCCAACTCGCACTACTAAGGAAGAGCACCAACTCGCACTACTAAGGAAGAGCACCAACTCGCACTACTAAGGAAGAGCACCAACTCGCACTACTAAGGAAGAGCCCCAACTCGCACTACTAAGGAAGAGCCCCAACTCGCACTACTAAGGAAGAGCAGCAACTCGCACTACTAAGGAAGAGCCCCAACTCGCACTACTAAGGAAGAGCACCAACTCGCACTACTAAGGAAGAGCACCAACTCGCACTACTAAGGAAGAGCACCAACTCGCACTACTAAGGAAGAGCCCCAACTCGCACTACTAAGGAAGAGCCCCACTCGCACTACTAAGGAAAGAGCCCCAACTCGCACTACTAAGGAAGAGCACCAACTCGCACTACTAAGGAAGAGCACCAACTCGCACTACTAAGGAAGAGCACCAACTCGCACTACTAAGGAAGAGCCCCAACTCGCACTACTAAGGAAGAGCCCCAACTCGCACTACTAAGGAAGAGCCCCAACTCGCACTACTAAGGAAGAGCCCCAACTCGCACTACTAAGGAAGAGCCCCAACTCGCACTACTAAGGAAGAGCCCCAACTCGCACTACTAAGGAAGAGCCCCAACTCGCACTACTAAGGAAGAGCCCCAACTCGCACTACTAAGGAAGAGCACCAACTCGCACTACTAAGGAAGAGCACCAACTCGCACTACTAAGGAAGAGCACCAACTCGCACTACTAAGGAAGAGCACCAACTCGCACTACTAAGGAAGAGCACCAACTCGCACTACTAAGGAAGAGCACCAACTCGCACTACTAAGGAAGAGCACCAACTCGCACTACTAAGGAAGAGCACCAACTCGCACTACTAAGGAAGAGCACCAACTCGCACTACTAAGGAAGAGCCCCAACTCGCACTACTAAGGAAGAGCACCAACTCGCACTACTAAGGAAGAGCACCAACTCGCACCACTAAGGAAGAGCACCAACTCGCACCACTAAGGAAGAGCACCAACTCGCACCACTAAGGAAGAGCACCAACTCGCACCACTAAGGAAGAGCACCAACTCGCACTACTAAGGAAGAGCACCAACTCGCACTACTAAGGAAGAGCCCCAACTCGCACTACTAAGGAAGAGCCCCAACTCGCACTACTAAGGAAGAGCCCCAACTCGCACTACTAAGGAAGAGCCCCAACTCGCACTACTAAGGAAGAGCACCAACTCGCACTACTAAGGAAGAGCCCCAACTCGCACTACTAAGGAAGAGCACCAACTCGCACTACTAAGGAAGAGCACCAACTCGCACTACTAAGGAAGAGCCCCAACTCGCACTACTAAGGAAGAGCCCCAACTCGCACTACTAAGGAAGAGCACCAACTCGCACTACTAAGGAAGAGCACCAACTCGCACTACTAAAGAAGAGCACCAACTCGCACTACTAAGGAAGAGCCCCAACTCGCACTACTAAGGAAGAGCACCAACTCGCACTACTAAGGAAGAGCACCAACTCGCACTACTAAGGAAGAGCACCAACTCGCACTACTAAGGAAGAGCCCCAACTCGCACTACTAAGGAAGAGCCCCAACTCGCACTACTAAGGAAGAGCCCCAACTCGCACTACTAAGGAAGAGCACCAACTCGCACTACTAAGGAAGAGCACCAACTCGCACTACTAAGGAAGAGCACCAACTCGCACTACTAAGGAAGAGCACCAACTCGCACTACTAAGGAAGAGCACCAACTCGCACTACTAAGGAAGAGCACCAACTCGCACTACTAAGGAAGAGCCCCAACTCGCACTACTAAGGAAGAGCCCCAACTCGCACTACTAAGGAAGAGCACCAACTCGCACTACTAAGGAAGAGCACCAACTCGCACTACTAAGGAAGAGCACCAACTCGCACTACTAAGGAAGAGCACCAACTCGCACTACTAAGGAAGAGCACCAACTCGCACTACTAAGGAAGAGCCCCAACTCGCACTACTAAGGAAGAGCCCCAACTCGCACTACTAAGGAAGAGCACCAACTCGCACTACTAAGGAAGAGCCCCAACTCGCACTACTAAGGAAGAGCACCAACTCGCACTACTAAGGAAGAGCCCCAACTCGCACTACTAAGGAAGAGCCCCAACTCGCACTACTAAGGAAGAGCCCCAACTCGCACTACTAAGGAAGAGCCCCAACTCGCACTACTAAGGAAGAGCACCAACTCGCACTACTAAGGAAGAGCACCAACTCGCACTACTAAGGAAGAGCACCAACTCGCACTACTAAGGAAGAGCACCAACTCGCACTACTAAGGAAGAGCCCCAAATCGCACTACTAAGGAAGAGCCCCAACTCGCACTACTAAGGAAGAGCCCCAACTCGCACTACTAAGGAAGAGCCCCAACTCGCACTACTAAGGAAGAGCCCCAACTCGCACTACTAAGGAAGAGCCCCAACTCGCACTACTAAGGAAGAGCACCAACTCGCACTACTAAGGAAGAGCACCAACTCGCACTACTAAGGAAGAGCACCAACTCGCACTACTAAGGAAGACCACCAACTCGCACTACTAAGGAAGAGCACCAACTCGCACTACTAAGGAAGAGCCCCAACTCGCACTACTAAGGAAGAGCCCCAACTCGCACTACTAAGGAAGAGCACCAACTCGCACTACTAAGGAAGAGCCCCAACTCGCACTACTAAGGAAGAGCACCAACTCGCACTACTAAGGAAGAGCACCAACTCGCACTACTAAGGAAGAGCACCAACTCGCACTACTAAGGAAGAGCCCCAAATCGCACTACTAAGGAAGAGCCCCAACTCGCACTACTAAGGAAGAGCCCCAACTCGCACTACTAAGGAAGAGCCCCAACTCGCACTACTAAGGAAGAGCCCCAACTCGCACTACTAAGGAAGAGCCCCAACTCGCACTACTAAGGAAGAGCACCAACTCGCACTACTAAGGAAGAGCACCAACTCGCACTACTAAGGAAGAGCACCAACTCGCACTACTAAGGAAGAGCACCAACTCGCACTACTAAGGAAGAGCACCAACTCGCACTACTAAGGAAGAGCCCCAACTCGCACTACTAAGGAAGAGCCCCAACTCGCACTACTAAGGAAGAGCACCAACTCGCACTACTAAGGAAGAGCCCCAACTCGCACTACTAAGGAAGAGCACCAACTCGCACTACTAAGGAAGAGCCCCAACTCGCACTACTAAGGAAGAGCCCCAACTCGCACTACTAAGGAAGAGCCCCAACTCGCACTACTAAGGAAGAGCCCCAACTCGCACTACTAAGGAAGAGCACCAACTCGCACTACTAAGGAAGAGCACCAACTCGCACTACTAAGGAAGAGCACCAACTCGCACTACTAAGGAAGAGCACCAACTCGCACTACTAAGGAAGAGCACCAACTCGCACTACTAAGGAAGAGCACCAACTCGCACTACTAAGGAAGAGCACCAACTCGCACTACTAAGGAAGAGCCCCAACTCGCACTACTAAGGAAGAGCCCCAACTCGCACTACCAAGGAAGAGCACCAACTCGCACTACTAAGGAAGAGCCCCAACTCGCACTACTAAGGAAGAGCACCAACTCGCACTACTAAGGAAGAGCCCCAACTCGCACTACTAAGGAAGAGCACCAACTCGCACTACTAAGGAAGAGCACCAACTCGCACTACTAAGGAAGAGCCCCAACTCGCACTACTAAGGAAGAGCCCCAACTCGCACTACTAAGGAAGAGCCCCAACTCGCACTACTAAGGAAGAGCACCAACTCGCACTACTAAGGAAGAGCCCCAACTCGCACTACTAAGGAAGAGCACCAACTCGCACTACTAAGGAAGAGCCCCAACTCGCACTACTAAGGAAGAGCACCAACTCGCACTACTAAGGAAGAGCACCAACTCGCACTACTAAGGAAGAGCACCAACTCGCACTACTAAGGAAGAGCACCAACTCGCACTACTAAGGAAGAGCACCAACTCGCACTACTAAGGAAGAGCACCAACTCGCACTACTACGGAAGAGCACCAACTCGCACTACTAAGGAAGAGCACCAACTCGCACTACTAAGGAAGAGCACCAACTCGCACTACTAAGGAAGAGCACCAACTCGCACTACTAAGGAAGAGCACCAACTCGCACTACTAAGGAAGAGCCCCAACTCGCACTACTAAGGAAGAGCACCAACTCGCACTACTAAGGAAGAGCACCAACTCGCACTACTAAGGAAGAGCACCAACTCGCACTACTAAGGAAGAGCACCAACTCGCACTACTAAGGAAGAGCACCAACTCGCACTACTAAGGAAGAGCACCAACTCGCACTACTAAGGAAGAGCACCAACTCGCACTACTAAGGAAGAGCCCCAACTCGCACTACTAAGGAAGAGCCCCAACTCGCACTACCAAGGAAGAGCACCAACTCGCACTACTAAGGAAGAGCCCCAACTCGCACTACTCAGGAAGAGCACCAACTCGCACTACTAAGGAAGAGCACCAACTCGCACTACTAAGGAAGAGCACCAACTCGCACTACTAAGGAAGAGCCCCAACTCGCACTACTAAGGAAGAGCCCCAACTCGCACTACTAAGGAAGAGCCCCAACTCGCACTACTAAGGAAGAGCACCAACTCGCACTACTAAGGAAGAGCCCCAACTCGCACTACTAAGGAAGAGCACCAACTCGCACTACTAAGGAAGAGCCCCAACTCGCACTACTAAGGAAGAGCACCAACTCGCACTACTAAGGAAGAGCACCAACTCGCACTACTAAGGAAGAGCACCAACTCGCACTACTAAGGAAGAGCACCAACTCGCACTACTAAGGAAGAGCACCAACTCGCACTACTAAGGAAGAGCACCAACTCGCACTACTACGGAAGAGCACCAACTCGCACTACTAAGGAAGAGCACCAACTCGCACTACTAAGGAAGAGCACCAACTCGCACTACTAAGGAAGAGCACCAACTCGCACTACTAAGGAAGAGCACCAACTCGCACTACTAAGGAAGAGCCCCAACTCGCACTACTAAGGAAGAGCACCAACTCGCACTACTAAGGAAGAGCACCAACTCGCACTACTAAGGAAGAGCACCAACTCGCACTACTAAGGAAGAGCACCAACTCGCACTACTAAGGAAGAGCACCAACTCGCACTACTAAGGAAGAGCACCAACTCGCACTACTAAGGAAGAGCACCAACTCGCACTACTAAGGAAGAGCCCCAACTCGCACTACTAAGGAAGAGCCCCAACTCGCACTACCAAGGAAGAGCACCAACTCGCACTACTAAGGAAGAGCCCCAACTCGCACTACTCAGGAAGAGCACCAACTCGCACTACTAAGGAAGAGCCCCAACTCGCACTACTAAGGAAGAGCACCAACTCGCACTACTAAGGAAGAGCACCAACACTCGCACTACTAAGGAAGAGCCCCAACTCGCACTACTAAGGAAGAGCCCCAACTCGCACTACTAAGGAAGAGCCCCAACTCGCACTACTAAGGAAGAGCACCAACTCACACTACTAAGGAAGAGCCCCAACTCGCACTACTAAGGAAGAGCACCAACTCGCACTACTAAGGAAGAGCCCCAACTCGCACTACTAAGGAAGAGCCTGAGCAGACGAACTGACCGGTGGATGGGGATGCGGAGGAGCACGATGAAGCGCGCATGCGGCAGCAGCGAGAAGACCAGCTCTGGAAGCAGGAAGCTGCGTGCGTGCATGGCATTGTGTGTGGGTGGGTGTGCGCGTGTGTGTGTTATGTGAGGGGGTGGACTGACCGGTGGATGGGGTTGCGCAGGAGGACGATAAAGCGCGCATGCGGGAGCAGCGAGAAGACCAGCTCTGGAAGCAGGAAGCTGCGCGCGTGAGGGCCGCGGGCCAAGATGCCCGAGTGGGTGAGCAGCGAGGGGGTCACCTCCCCTGCCATGGCGGCTGGGTGGGTGGCTATGTGCGCTGCTGCTTCTTGGAATTTCTCAGTGTACCAATCGAAGGGATCATACTCCCTCATGTCCCACCTGGTTAAGGGCGCGCACACACACAGACGCACACACGAACACACACGGATGAGGCAGTGGGATGAGAGGGTGTATCATCAGCTGCTGCAGAACCCGCCAGGCTTATGGGATGGATTTTGCCCATGCACCAATCTAGAGGGTCATACTCTTGGATTTCCCACCTGGTGAGAGCAGGCAGGGGTAAGGCACACATTGCATGCATACACGGACACACAAACACACAGGGTTGCTATGGCGGATGGATGGCTGGCTATGTGGTCTGCTGCTGGTTAAATTTTGCCCATGTACCAGTCTAGAGGGTCATACCCCCGCATGTCCCACCTGGTGAGAGCAGGGCACGCACACACGTACACACACACGAATGGGCCAGTGAGAAGAGAACCAACAGTGAGGAAGTTACCTCCCCTGTGTACCAGCCTAGGGGGTCGTACTCCCTCATATCCCACCTGGTGAGAGCAGCAGCACACACATGCACACATAGGGAAGTGAAAAGTGAATCAACAGTGAGGAAGTTACCTCCCCTGTGTACCAGCTTAGGGGGTCGTACTCCCTCATATCCCACCTGGTGAGAGGACACACATTGCATTCTCACACACATTGCATATTGCATCCACTCACAGGATCACAAACGGCAAAGGAAAAAAGCAAGGGTAGGATAAGGGTAAGGGCAAGGGTAGGTTAAGAGTAAGGGTAAGGGTAAGGGCAAGGGTAGGTTAAGAGTAAGGGTAAGGGTAAGGGCAAGGAAGGCAAAGGCAGAGGCAGAGGTAAATACAGAGGCAGAGGTATGATATTAGAGCGTTGAGGGGGCATGGCAGAAAGGCGTTGAGGGAGCATGGCATAGAGGCAAGACTGATCATTCAAGATTGACCAAAGAGGCAGGCCGCAGAGCAGTCTGATGGGCCATGGTCAATTGATGAGGAAGGTCGAGGGAGCAGAGAGGCAGAAGGGAAAGTCTGACCATTCAGGTGGATAGCTCATGAGAGAAAGGTTTAGGGAGCAGAGAGGCAGAAAGAGGGAAGACTCACCATTCGAGGTTGAGCATAGAGGCAGGCTGCAGAGCAGTTGGATGGGCCATGGTCAACCGTTGAAAGAAGTCCCGAGCTCCACTCCTGGTAGAAAAAGAGGAAAATAAATCGTGGGGTGAAGGGCCAGGTTAGGCATGAAGGGTGAGGGGGGTGAGTGGGGTGAGGGGTTGGGTTGGGAAATTGGGAAGTGTTAACGGGAGATAACAATATGGGCCATGTTCAGCCGATGGAAGAAGTCAAGAGCCACTCTCCTGGGCCAGGTTCAACAAAACGGGGGTAGGGGGCAGGTTCAACAAAACGGGGGTAGGGGGCAGGTTCAACAAAACGGGGGTAGGGGGCAGGTTCAACAAAACGGGGGTAGGGGGCAGGTTCAACAAAACGGGGGTAGGGGCCAGGTTCAACAAAACGGGGGTAGGGGCCAGGTTCAATAAAACGGGGGTATGGGGCAGGTTGGTGGAGAGGCGCGGGAGGGCACAACATGAGTCATGTTCAGCCGATGAAAGAAGTCCCAAGCTCCAGTTTCGGATTGAGGGAAAGGCCGTGGGGTGAATGCTGCTCCTCTATGCCTACCTCATAGCCCCGATGACCAGGAAGTAAGGCAGGCAGTGAAACCCGGAGCTGTCCTTCCAGCAGGGGTTGCGGAAGGCCGGGTCGAACCCTGACTGGGGCAGCTGGGCGAACCACTCTCACAGAGGGTGTGCTGTAAGGCATTGTGATGTGTGTGTTCCTACCTCATAGCACCGATCACCAGGAAGTAAGGCAGGCAGTGAAACCCGGAGCCATCCTTCCAGCAGGGGTTGCGGAATGATGGGTCAAACCCCGATGGGGGCAGCTGAGAATACCACTCCCCTGCCACCTGCATGATCTCGCCCCTGTGGTGCTCGTTGTATATCACCGGAAACACCGACCCCCCTCCGTCTTTTCCTCCTCCCCCTCTCCCTCCTCTCCCTCCCCAACCTCCTTGTCCTCCTCCCCCTCCTGCTAATCCTGTCTTTCCTCTTTCTCCTGCTCCTCCTCCTCCTGCCTCGTCCTCCCCACCATTCGAATGCACCCGCTCCCACTCTTCCTTGACCACCTGTTCCATCTCAACCACTTCCAACTCCTTGCCGCGCTCCGCCCGCCCGAAAACAAGCCCGTGGTGCGACCCTGCTGCTACAGTGTCCACGTGCAGACAAGCCAGGCCGCCCACGAGGCCGGGAAGCGGGTCGGCGGAGTGCTGTGTCGGGCGGCCGAGCTGATGATAATTGTTGTAACCCCTGATAGAGAGGAAAGGGAGGGGAGGGGAAGGAGAGTATCAGCACCCCACACCACCTCCAAGGGGAATCTCTAGGGGAGGGAGAGTAATCAGTACTCTCCTCCCGGAGTTTCCTGAATAATCAGCAGCCCCCACCACCTGAAAGCGAGACACCCCACCACCCTGAATGCCACACCACAAGCTAGGCTAGGCAAAGCCCAAGGCGATACCAGCTCAACTCACCACGAGAAGACCTGTCCAGTCGCGGTTCTCGCAAGCACAAATGATGCACCACCCACCACCTGCACCACCCCACCCATCCGCACTCCCCCCTCACTCCCCTCCTCCTCTCCCACCACCTCACTCGGCTCTTCCGCCGCTCCCCCTGTTCGCCCCAGCAACACCGAACCTGAGTGTCCTGCTGCTGCTCCTCCTGCTGCTGCTAGCCCTCCTTTCCCCCCACCATACCCCCACGATAGAAGCTGCTGGGAGGATGCCATGACAGCAAAAGATGCGCCTGCTGCTGCTCCGATGGTTGATGCACGCTCGGAAGACAAGGGACCGGAGGTGATGCGGTGGGGGAGGGAGAAGCGAGTGTGGGAGGAGTGGGCTAGAAGAGGTGCGTGGATGGCCGGATTAACTCGAATGCCACTTGCATTGAAACCGGTGCTGGTAGGGGGAAGAACAGAGGGTGGAAGGACACGCAAGAAGGGGCACAGAGAGTATATGCGAGTCGATCAGGCAAGGCAAAGGATGTGCCTGCTGCTGCTCCGATGATTGATGCACGCTCAGAAGACACGGGACCAGAGGTGATTCGGTGGGAGAGGGAGAAGCGGGCGTGGGAGGAGAAAGAGGAGGTGGAGGAGGAGGAGGGAAAGGGGATGGGGTGGGCTAGAAGAGGGGCGTGGATGGCCGGGTTGATTCGAACGCCGCTGGCGTTAAAACCGGAGCTGGTAAGGGGTAGAAGAGAAGGTGGAAGGAAGCAGGGCAGGGATACAGACAATATTCGTGAGTCGATCAGACAGACGATGCAAAAGCCGTGCCTGCTGCTGCTCCGATGGTTGATGCACGCTCGGAAGACAAGGGACCGGAGGTGATGCGGTGGGGGAGGGAGAAGCGGGTGTGGGAGGAGAAAGAGGAGGTGGAGGAGGAGGAGGGAAAGGGGATGGGTTGGGAAAGGAGAGGGGCGTGGATGGCTGGGTTGACTCGAACACCACTGGCATTGAAACCAGTGCTGGTGGAAGGGGGGAAAAGGGAGGGTGGAATGGAAGGAAGAGGAGCAAGTATACAGACAGTATATTTTAATCGATCAAACATTCGACAGGACGTGACTGCTGCTGCTGCTATCCCTCCTTCTCCCCTCCTTATTCTTCTCCTATACTGTACAGGCTTGCCACCCATCCCTCTATCTGCTTCTCAACACGCGAGATTCGAGCTTCGAGGAGATTCGAGCTTCGAGGAGATTCGAGCTTCGAGGAGAGGAGATGTGCGCTCTCCCCTGCATGCAAATTACACATGGCATAGTTAGGCCCCTGAAAAAAAAAATTCCACCTGTATGCGTACTCATGGAGTGAAAGCACGCCAATGCTCCTCCCCTGGTGCTTTCTCCACCCCCCTAGGACCCTCTTTTGAGAACCTGCACCCAGACTCCACCACCCAAGGACCCTCATTTCCTCTCTCACCTGCATTCGTACACGTGGCCTTTATCTGTGAGGGCAAGCCAGTGCTCCTCCCCTGCTGCTACCTTCACCACTCTCTCTCCCTCTCCAACAGCCTTCCCACCTATCGCTTTGTCTGCTTCTCAACACGCCATACTGAAGTCTTGAGTCGTATGCTCTCACCTGCACGCATACACGTGGCCTTTATCTGTGAGCGCCAGCCAGTGCTCCTCCCCTGCTGCTACCTTCACCACTCTCTCTCCCTCTCCAACAGCCTTCCCACCTATCGCTCTGTCTGCTTCTCAACACGCCATACTGAAGTCTTGAGTCGTATGCTCTCACCTGCACGCATACACGTGGCCTTCACTGTGAGCGCCAGCCAGTGCTCCCCCCCTGCTGCTACCTTCACCACTCTCTCTCCCTCTCCAACAGCCTTCCCACCTATCGCTCTGTCTGCTTCTCAACACGCCATACTGAAGTCTTGAGTCGTATGCTCTCACCTGCACGCATACACGTGGCCTTTATCTGTGAGCGCCAGCCAGTGCTCCTCCCCTGCTGCTACCTTCACCACTCTCTCTCCCTCTCCAACAGCCTTCCCACCTATCGCTCTGTCTGCTTCTCAACACGCCATACTGAAGTCTTGAGTCGTATGCTCTCACCTGCACGCATACACGTGGCCTTTATCTGTGAGCGCCAGCCAGTGCTCCTCCCCTGCTGCTACCTTCACCACTCTCTCTCCCTCTCCAACAGCCTTCCCACCTATCGCTCTGTCTGCTTCTCAACACGCCATACTGAAATCTTGAGTCGTATGCTCTCACCTGCATGCATACACGTGGCCTTTATCTGTGAGCGCAAGCCAATGCTCCTCCCCTGCTGCTATCTCCACCACCCTCTCGCCCTCCAACGCCCCTCCCACCCTCCTTGGCTCCGCTGCTAACGCCACTGCTGCTGCCAATTCCTCCTCTAAACTCTTTCTGCTGCTTCCGCCGTTGCTGCTGCCGCCACCGCTGCCGCCACTGCCGCTGGTGTTGCTGCTGCTGGTGCTGCTGCCGTCGCTGCCAGAAGCAGCAGCAGCAGCAGTGGCAGCGGCGGGAGCAGTAGGGGTATGGCATAGGTCATGGTGGTGGGTCCAGGGAGTAGGGAGCGAGAAGAGGTTGAGGCCCCAGGTGAAGACTTGCCCCCCGGCAGAGAGGGCGAGGGAGTAGTGCGGGCCTGCTGCTGCTGCCACCACCACCACATTTTCCAACGCCCCCCTCACTGGCGCTGCCTCGTGCCTGTCGCCCTGAGAAGGGAACAGGGGAAGAAGCAGCAGCAGCAGAAACAGCAGCAGAAGAAGCAGGAGTAAGTGTATGGCAAAGGTCATGGTGGTGGGTCCAGGGAGCAGGGAGCGAGAAGAGGTTGAGGCCCCAGGTGAAGACTTGACCCCCGGCAGAGAGGGCGAGGGAGTAGTGTGGGCCTGCTGCTGCCGCCACCACCACCACGTTTTCCAACGCCCCCCTCACTGGTGCCGCCTCGTGTCTGTCACCCTGGGAATCAGAGGGAGGAAAGAGAATAGGGGAGAGAGAGGTGAATGTAAGTCAACTCAAACGACGCCCTACACCATGCACCTTCCACCCGACACCATGCACGACGCACCATGCACCATGCACCATGCACCTTCCACCCTACACCATGCACCATGCACCATGCACCTTCCACCCTACACCATGCACCACGCACCATGCACCTTCCACCCTACACCATGCACCATGCACTGTGCACCTTCCACCCTACACCATGCACCACGCACCATGCACCTTGCACCTTCCACCCAACACCATGCACCACACACCATGCACAACCCCTTACCATGCTTCTCGTCTGCCTCCCCAGCTGCCCCCTCCCATTACACCCCCACGTGTACACCACCCCCTCTTCAGTCACAGCCACAGAATGAAACTTCCCAGCAGCGACCGCCCGCACTCTCCCCGCCACTCCCCCCACCCTCCCAGGCCTCCCAAACGGCCCCTTTCGCCCCAGCTGCCCTGCTTTCCGCCTCCTGCTGTCCCAGTTCCGGCCGAAGGAGTAGAGCGTGCCGTCTACTGTCACTGCTAGCGTGTGCCCTGATGCGGCCACGGCTTTCACTCCCTTGCGGCCTAGAACCCCCCCTGCTCTGTGTGCGCCTGGGGGAAACGGATCAGCAGCACTCTTCTCTGCTTCCAGTGCTCCCGGCTTCTCTGCCATAGCAGCAGCGTCTGCTGCTCGCCTGCCTGCTTCAACCACAGGCCAAGCCGCCCTGTCCTCCTCGCCCCACCCCATCCGGTAACTCAGGTCCCCCCCTGCCCACCCGAACAGGTACCCTGCCTTTTGAGCCGTCACAGAGCCAGTTCCGCCTTTCCCTCCTGGCGATCCGGCATAGCGCCATGCTGGGTGGGAAAACGCTGCTGCTTCGTCTGCTGCCATTGCTGCTGCTGCTGCTGTTTCTGCTGCTGCTGCGCTTGCTACTGCCGCCTCTGCTGCAGCTGCACTTGCTGCTGCCGCCTCTGTTGCAGCTGCACTTGCTTCTGCTACCGCTCCTGCCGCCCGTTCTGCTGCTACAGCGGTCTCAGCTGCTGCTGCTGCTGACTCTGCCTCTGCTGCTGCAGCTGTTACTGCATCGGCCTCTCCTCCTGCTACAGCCACCTGTGCTGCTGCTCCCGCTGCTACATCCGAATCTGCTCCAAGTTTTACCTGGGACGGTGTGACAGGAACAGCTGACGTGCCTGCTGCACGTGGGGTTGAAACAATGGGAAAGCCGAAACAACAGGGTAAGTGGGGTAATACTCAAGTTGACTTGAAATTCGTTGCTGCAGGCGTTTCTGTCCCTGCCAGAAACGATCTTCCAACCAAAATGGGATGGACGGGAACGAATTTAGACAACCATAATCAACGCTTCTGAACCAACTTCCGTTTCCTTGCTGAAGAAAATCGCCTCTGCGAGAAATGCTGCCTTTTGAGACGTCTCAAAAGTTGTTTCCTTGCTGAAGAAAATCGCCTCTGCGAGAAATGCTGCCTTTTGAGACGTCTCAGAAGTTGTTTCCTTGCTGAAGAAAATCGCCTCTGCGAGTGTTGCGGCCGTGGGAGGACAGCGATTCAGTGTTTTTGCAAGTAGATGTATTTTGAGAAGTTCTCGTGGCTGCAGATCACCCACTGCAATGACCTGCTACATTTTGACAAGTTCTCCTTCCCCGCTGCCTTTTGAGTCGACTCAAAAGTCTCTCGTGGCTGCAGATCACCCACTGCAATGACCTTCTGTATTTTAAGAGTTCTCCTTCACCGCTGCAAACCCAACCAAATCGCACACGCCTTTAGAAGCTGCTCTCATTTCTTACCGCTGCTCGACCTGCTTCCACCCTTTGGCAGCAGAAGAGCCACCGAGGCCACCAGAAGCACTACTAGCAAACCCACCAGCACACCACAGATCACGCGCTTCAATGAACTCGAAGAGCTTTCAAACCAATATCACCCATCCACACCACGCCATTCACGAATCTTACCGCTGCTTAGGCTGCTCTTGCCCTTTGGCAGCAGAAGAACCACCGAGGCCAGCAGAAGCACTACTAGCAAGCCCACCAGCAGGCCACAGACCACCCGCTCAAAGGAACCCGGAGAGCTCTCAAACCCGCGATTGCTGCTAGAAGCTGAGCCCAACCAGCCGCGAACGGGTGAAAACCGTGCGGTACCCTTCAAATTCGGCCATCCGGTTGTGGATAACCCCGTCGTGTCCCTGCTGCTGCCACCACTGACGCCGCTGCTGCTTGTGGTTGTTCCTCCTGTGGCTCGATCTTGGTTCCACGATAAGAAAGAAGGTAAAAGACTGCCAATGCCACTAAGACCACTGCCGCTGCCGCCGCCAGTGGTGACGAATGAAGAGGAGAGAGAGAGTTTCGCGGAAACGCCTGGTGCTTGGAAGGCCCCTCGACGCTGAATTGGTGGTGGCCGTCGCATGGTTGCTCGCTGCTGGTGGTGTGGATGGAACTGAAATGTGGAGTGGGAAATGGAATCTGTTGAATCAAGGCTGGAAGGCCCCTCGACGCTGAATTGGTGGTGGCCGTCGCATGGCTGCTCGCTGCTGCTGGCCTGGAACAGAGATGAGATGAAGCGTGGCTGAATATGGAATCTGTTGAATCAAGGCTTGAGGCGTCTACGCTGAATTGGCGGTGGACGTCGCATGGTTGCTCGCTGCTGCTGTTGTGGATTATAGTAAAAATGGGTGAATACGCTTTACTGAGCTCTGGGAAGCCTCGGTATTCGCTCTGGTTGAGAATGAGATTGAGTAAATGGGTCGAATTCGTGAAATGTGATTGGCAGGAAAAGAATTGGAGGGACTATCATCACTCATCCGCAACCGTCCCACTTAGGATACTTCAATCTTTCACGAGAAGCTAATCATAACCACGAGAAGCCGCTCCGATCAGATCGGACGGCTGAGCTATGCTGATGTGCCGCTAATCTTCGGTCGTTGAGAGCACTCGAGGCAGGGACGAGAGAAAGCCAGAGCCAGAGCTCTAGTCATAATTTCTGCGGCGAGAACGCAACGCAAACGGTCCACCAAACACGGAGGAAGCATTCTACCACATGCTGCCAGGCAGCACCCGTTTGAAATCGCGCAGAGGAGAAAATAGGATTCAAGCTGATCAGCTGAACGGAACTCCCTAGAGAATTTGATTCCGAAACATTACGGCAATCCCGAGGCAAGTTGGTGGTTGTCGGTTGGGTTGGATCCCAGCGCTGCTTATCCGATATAGAAATGATGCGCTGTAGAATATGCGGATAAGAAATGAAAGGGGAAGAGTGAATCAGGGCCTGTGCTAGGATTTAGGGCACCCTGAGCCCTCAGGGCAACTTTTGAAAACTTTCCTAAATGCCCTGATTTATCAGGGCAAAATTCCCTGGCCATCCTGAAATTTCAGGGCACCAGCAGAAATTCATCTGGATGTTTCAGGGCAAAAAAATACAAGACACTAGAGTGGAGGGGAAGGCAAGAGAGGAGCACGTTGTTCAGTGGTTTCACTACAATGGGCTGAGCAAAAACCTTGGAGGGGGAAGGGTGGGGACAAAACACACACACACCCTCCAGCCTCCTTCCTCCCCTCTCCCCCTCTCCCCCCCTCCACCCCTACTTCCCCTTCCCACGAGTCAGGGCATCCCTCTACATTCACCCTACCGATTCAGGGCAAAATTTCACTGCCATTCTGAAATTTCAGGGCAAAACACATGAATCATCCTGTCGTCATAGGGTAAATTTCAGCGTCATTCTGAAATTCCAGGGCAAAATGAAAACACCATCCTGAAATCAGGGTAATCAGGATGTTTTGCCCTGATATCGTGGGCCCTGGAGTGAATAGCTGATAAGCTGACTTGAACTACTTAAGCACAATTTGGGCCAACCATGCCAAGTTTGATATCTTTTAAGGCAAGGTGATCATTTGAAAACTGAAGGAACAACAATGTGAGCAATCTACATAGATGAAATCTGTAGTATGCAGCTTGGGTTAGTATTCCAACTTGTTAAAGGGACATCTATCACACATCGCCAATAGCAACCATGTCGACTTATCCTCATTTTCCTTCCTACTTTCACACTTGACCATCTTCGCTAATACCACTTCTCACAATCCTTTTTGCATGTGGCATCTCAGCTTCACTCCCCAAAGGAGAACGGGACCGTACCCTCCCACTAAACGCATTCAAACTCGAACTATCCGAACCTGGTGTGTCCTGCCGAACCTCCACTCCACCCGTGCCTTCGTCCGAACCTGTACCTGACATGGACCGGGCTGCAGCCTCGGAATCGACCGCCCGAACCGCAGCTGCAGCCACGGAAGCCATTATATCCATTCGCCCGCCTCTTCTTGATCCTAAGGATGAGGGGCTAGATTCCGACGATACCCCTGCCCCTCGGTCTTGAAAAGGGGAATTTGTCGTTGGGAAAAAGCTGAAGTGCTGCGACTGCTGCTGATACTGTAACTGCTTATGCCGCTCCTCCTCCTCCCCTTGTTTGTCATTCACTTCCACTTCCCGCTCCGGCTGCTGCAGCTGCAGAAGCTCTTGCTGTTGCTGCTGTATTTGCAACCGTTGCTGCTGCAATTCCAACTCCTGCTGCTGAAACAACTGCTGGTGCAATTGCTGCATATGCTGCCCTCCCTGTTGCTGCTGCATGTGCTGCCCGCCCTGCTGCTGCAGCCTCATCATGGTTCGAGGCGGCATCATCACTTCTGCCAGTCCGGGAATGCCTTGAGGGACTTGACGCCCCCGGGGGTCTTGATGACTACCCTGGCTCAGTTGAGGCGAAATGTTGAGTTGCAAGTCCTGCGCACTGTTCTGTGCATTATTCTCCGCAGTGTTTTGAGCTCCATTCGGGACAATGTTCTGAGAACTGTTTTCCACACCAAGACAGAGAGATGGCTCCTGCTGCTGCTCCTGCCCCAGCCCCTGCCCCAGCGGCCGCAGTCGACGCCTTGGATCCTGCGCTTGGTGCTGCACCTGCTGCTGCTGCTGCTGCTGCTGCTGCTGCTGCTGCTGCTGCTGCTGCTGCTGCTGCTGCTGCTGCTGCAGAGGAACCTGAGAAGGTGCTGCCTTCTGTTGTTTTCTCCTGAGCGACTCCTGCAGCTGGTGAACAGCAGCAGCTGGATTGGGTGCAAACCGTACCTGCTGCTGCTGCTGCTGTTTCTGCCTCATGTACGCTTCTAAAAGGGCAGTCATGGCTTGAGACGAAGAGGACAAATCTGAAGCACCGTTTGCACTGTCAGCCGCACCCCTTGTGCTGCCTGCAGCAGCAGCATCAGTACCAGCAGCAGCAGCAGCAGCAGCACCACCACCACCACCATCAGCAGTGGCAGTAGCAGTAACAGTGGTAGCAGCAGCAGCACCAGCAGCAGCACCACCACCACCATCAGAAGCACCGGTTGCAGCAGCAGAAGCAGCAGCAGTGCCAGCAGCAGTAGCAGCAGCAGTAGCAGCCATTCGCGATTTTCTCTGCAGAGCAGCAGTCAGGGAGCTGGAGAGGCGGGGGGGAGGAGCAGAGGAGGAGGCGGAGGAGGAGGAGGAGAGGAGGGAGGGGATGAGAGATGGGTCTGAAGCAGAGAGAAGCCTTAAGGCTTGGCGTTGCACTTTGGCAATCAGGTCAACGGAGTTGGCTGCTGCAGGGATGGTTGTTGTAGCGACTGCAGCGGCTGTAGCAGCTGGGGCGGTTGTAGCGGCTGTGGCGGGAGGGAATTGCCCTGCTGCTGTAGCAGTAGAGGAGCTGATTGCAGTTTGCATCTGCTGTAGCAGCTGCTGCTCTAGTAACTGCTGCTGCAGCTGTTGCTGCTGCTTCTGCTGCTGCTGTTGTTGCTGACGTTGTTGCTGTTGCTGCTGCTGCTGCTGCTGCTGCTGCTGCTGCTGCTGCTGCTGCTGCTGCTGCTGCTGCTGCTGCTGCTGCTGCTGCTGCTGCTGCTGCTGCTGCTGCTGCTGCTGCTGCTGCTGCTGCTGCTGCTGCTGCTGCTGCTGCTGCTGTTGCTGCTGCTGCTGCTGCTGCTGCTGCTGCTGCTGCTGCTGCTGCTGCTGCTGCTGCTGCTGCTGTTGCTGCTGAAGCAGTAACAGCAGGAGTTGCTGCTGCTGATCTTGCTGCTGCTGCTGTATTCTTCCTGCCCCTCCACTTGCCTCCATTCCATCCGCTCCAGTAGAACCTCCCCCAGTTGAACCTGCCTGCAATCCTGCTGCAACCATCTGCTGCTGTAGCTGCTGCTGCTGCTGCTGTTGCTGCTGCTGAGGCTGCTCCTGCTGCTGTGGCTGCAGTTGTCCCTGAAGCTGCGGTTGCAGCTGCAGTTGCTGAACCCCCTGCTGCTGCTGCCCCTGCTGTTGCAACTGTAGCTCTTGCTGCGGCTGCTGCGGCTGCTGCGGCTGCTGCGGCTGCTGCTGCTGCGGGCCACGCCCCACTCGTGCACCGACAGATGTTGCGAGGCGATTGGCCAATGCATTAGGGCCGAGGAGCGTGCGAAGCATTGAGTTGCGGATAAAGTTCTGCACCTGGTGAGGGGGGAGTGGGTGAAGGGGGTGAGGAGAGCGAGGCAAGGGAGGAGTGGGAGGGAGTGAGCAGAGGGAGGAGTGTGCGAAGCATGGAGTTGCAACTGAAGTTCTAAACCTGGCAAAGGGGATGCAAACATTGGGGAACGAGTGCAGTGTGTGGGGGGGGGGGGGGGGGTGGGGGTGGTTAAAGCAAGGGCACACAATCATCTTGACTGATTTTGTCATTCTTTTACTTTCTATATTTATTTATTTTTAGTGTGGTAGCGCCTTCGCACGGGCAACCTGGGTGGGCAAGTGATAAACCTTCCCATTAACACTTACCCCCAATGAGAATTTTGCCCTTACCTGCTGCACCCCTTACCTGCTGCCCCCCTCACCTGCTGCCCCCCTCACCTGCTGCCCCTCTGCTTCTCTCTCGAGCAGCCATTCCAGTTTCCTCTTGCCCCCATCCGGCTCGTATGCTGCTTGCTCCAGCTCCCCCTATTTACTACTCCGTTCTTTTGTTTCTTACCTCCCTTCTGCTAACTGCCCCCTTACCTGCTGCCCCTCTGCTTCTCTTTCGAGCAGCCATTTCAGCTTCCTCTTGCCCCCATCCGGCTCGTATGCTGCTTGCTCCAGCTCCCTCTATCTATAACTCCGTTCTTTTGTTTCTTACTTCCCCTCTGCTAACCTGAACAGCTGCCCCCCTTACCTGCTGCCCCTCTGCTTCTCTCTCGAGCAGCCATTCCAGCTTCCTCTTGCCCCCATCCGGCTCGTATGCTGCTTGCTCCAGCTCCCTCTGGTGGCGGGGGAGGCAGGGGAACAAGGGGTGGCAAGGCAGGAGGCGGGAAGAGGAAAGGCAGGAGAGTGGAAGATAAAGGGGCAGCATAGAAGAGGTGAATCGCCATTCAAGCTTCTACTTGCTTCCATCAGACTGATACGCTGCCTGCTCCAGCTCCCTCTGGTGACCACATAGTTGACTTTTGAGTCGACTCAAAAGTCTGCTCCAGCTCCCTCTGGTGACCACATAGCGACAGACAGGCACGAAAAGGATCGGGCCAACATGAGGAGGGTGATGAAGGAGGGAGAGTGAGGCGCCTCAAAGAGGGGTGAAAGGTGAATGGCAAACACGTGATGAAGGAGGGAGAGTGAGACGCCTCAAAGAGGGGTGAAAGGTGAATGGCAAACACGTGATGAAGGAGGGAGAGTGAGGCGCCTCAAAGAGGGGTGAAAGGTGAATGGCAAACACGTGATGAAGGAGGGAGAGTGAGGCGCCTCAAAGAGGGGTGAAAGGCGAATCGCGAACGCGTGATGTGAATGTCATTCGAGTATCGTCCTTCCACTGTCACCCACCCACCCCCACTCACACATACCTCCACCAGCCCTTGTACAGGGTCAGTGATCTGCCAGAAGTCGTGGTCCTGCGGCAGAGAGACATGTAGACTTACTTGAACGCACTTTCTAACAGTCACACTCACTCACACACACCCACACACATGCACACACCCACGCACCTCCAGCAGCCGAGAGCAATAGCAGGGTCGGTGATCTGCCAGAAGTGGTGGTCCTGAGGCAGAGACACAGGCGTTTCCTCTAACACACATACCCACACGGTCACTCACCCACTCACTACCCACGCACACATACCTCTAGCAACCCGAGAGCAATGGCAGGATCGGTGATCTGCCAGAAGTGGTGGTCCTGCGGCAGAGACACGGGTGTTTCCTCTGCCTCCATGGGTGGCAACTCCATGGGCTTCTCGAGACTGCGGAACTGGGGAGGGGAGGGATTTAGATGGAGGGTAGATGGAGGATTAGAGGGAGACGAGACAGCACTGGTTGGAAAGACCGATAACATATGTGTCGACACTGCCTCCATAGGAGGCAGCTCCATGGGCTTCTCAAGGCTGCGGAACTGGGGGGTTGTGGGAGACGGGGGGGGGGTGTCAGAGGGAGGTCATTTAAGTCGATTCTCAAAGGTCCTCTGCCTCCATGGGTGGCAACTCCATGGGCTTCTCAAGGCTGTGGAACTGCGAGGAATAGGAGAGGGGTAGAGGGAGGGAGGGGGTCCACCAGACGGCAGTAGTTGAAACACAAAGACAGCTGTCAAATCAAAGCAAAAAACTCACAAAGCACTTGAAGGAGCTGTTCGGCTCTTAAAATTTGAAAAAAACTACAAGCAATATAAGTGTGAGCAAGTGCCTCCTCAGCCGTGCATCGCCTGGAGGGATCAAACGCCAGCATGCGATGGAGCAGGTGAGCGGCCCTAGGGGTTTAAGGTTCACGAGTGTGCTTACATATGTGTGAGCAAGAGCCTCTTCAGCAGTGCACCGCCTGGACGGATCAACGGCCAGCATACGATGGAGCAGGTCAGCGGCCTCGGGATCGCCACATGGCGCCATCTGATTGGCCAGGTTGCCCGCCCGCCCGGGCAGCCTCTTGAGGAACGCCCGCCAGGCATCGCTAGGGACGCTCTCAATGTCCTTCCAGCAGGGCGTGCCGATGACATCGAATATCACGTCCAGTTGATCCGATAAGGGAGATTCATTGTCATCTACATACTTCTCCCCTGTTTCCGGAGTGACCGGCTCGCCCCTGTTTCGCAGGGGGGGAAATTTCACACAAAAACGGAAAAGAACAGAACAGAATCGAAGAGGAGAGGAGAGAACAAATTAGAATATCACAGCAAGGTCTCTTGAGGAACGCCCGCCAGGCGTCGCTAGGGACGCTCTCAATGTCCTTCCAGCAGGGCGTGCCGATGACATCGAATATCACGTCCAGCTGGTCCGATAAGGGAGATTCATTGTCATCTACGAACTTCTCCCCCGTTTCCGGGGTCACTGGCTCGCCCCTGTGATGCAGGGAGGAGGATTTCACAAGAAAAAAGAGCAGAAAAGACAGAAAAGGATATCACAGAAAGGCCTCTTGTGGTATGCCCAGCAGTTAGGCATCGCTGGGGACGCTCTCAATGTCCTTCCAGCAGGGCGTGCCGATGACATCGAATATCACATCAAGCTGGTCCGATAAGGGAGATTCATTGTCATCTACGTACTTCTCCCCTGTTTCCGGAGTTACCGGCTCGCCCCTGTGGGGGGCCCCGGGGCAGGATTTCAAGAAGAAACAGAAAGAACAGAACAGAACAAAGCAGGTTAATATAGGGAAGCCTTTTCAGGAACGCCCGCCAGGCATCGCTGGGGACGGTCTCAATGACCTTCCAGCAGGGCGTGCCGATGACATCGAATATCACGTCGAGCTGGTCGGCTAGTGGTGACTCGTTGTCGTCTACATACTTCTCCCCTGTCTCTGGCGTCACTGGCTCGCCCCTGTGATGCAGGGAGCAGGTTGGAGTGCGTGTGGGTACGGAGAGGGGAGGATTCCAAAAAGGAACTGAATCAAACAGAACGGAAGTCGTTTCAGCTATGCTCAGCCACCAGCCAGCTGTAATAGGCTCACCTGATGGCAACATAGGTTCACCTGATGGCAACAGAGGCCCTCAACTGAGGCTCACCTGAGGGAGGGCAACGGCAAGCGACCCACCTGATGGCAACAGAGGCTCACCTGATGGCAACAGAGGCTCACCTGATGCCGAAGAGTGGCCTAGATGGAGGCCCGGGTCGATGGGGCCGCATGGCTCGCATTAGGAGCTCCTGAGTGGGGGGAGAGAGAACGTGGTGGTGATGGTGGGAGTGAGTGAGGTGAGGAGCATATGGTGACCTCGGGTCTACTCAGAAGTCATTGGGGGCGCATGGCTTGCATTGAAAGCTCGCGAGGGAGGAGGACGGAGGGAATGGAGGGCCTTTCTTTGTTCAGAGTAAAAACGAGGGACAGTGGGAAATTTTTCGACAAGCTTTTAGAATGCATGCAAGTGTGTGTATTCGCGTGCAATTCCTCTTTTTGGGGTGCTCAGAGGAGGAAGAGTTACACATTCTCCCAGGCAGAAAAGCTTACCCAGAAAATGCAGCCGAGTGACCAGCTGAATTGGGATGAGGTGAGCGAGAGAGTTGTTGCACAAGCAGGAGGCAGGTGAAGGGAGTCCCACGCAAGGAGAGATGATATGCAAGGTGGGGAAGACGGGAGGGGGGAGGGAAGGGGGCGGGATTAGGAGGGGAGGATGGGAAAGCGGAAAAGGGAATGAATGAGGGGGGTAGCGAAGGGTGGAGGAAAGAGTGCAAAGGCGGGAAACAGGTGAGGTACCCACTTTGTTCAAACGCAGGCAGCAGTGTGGGGTTCTGACTGAGAAGAAAGGGGAGATAGAGACAAGAAACCAGGTTTTATGCCTTTAAGTCAGTGGGCCTCAGAAGAAAGATAGGAACAAACAAGAGGTGACTTTTGAGTCGACTCAAAAAGTCACCTCGAAAGGGGAGATAGAGACAAGAAACCAGGTTCAGTGGGCCTCTGAAGAACGATAGGAACAAACAAGAGGAAGGAACACGATTGGGGGACTCACATGTCGATGGCAGAGGTGTATTGGCCTCTGGACATGACCACTTCAGGGGCGCGGTAGCTGGGGGTGACGACCATTTTGGTGAACTGCCTCTGCAGCACGTGCTGCTTCCTCCCCGCCGCTGCCCCCTTCTCGTCCGGAGCACTGCGCGGCTGCATTGGCTGCCCTGACTGCAAGTGTGCGTTCGGGGGAAGCACAGGGGGTAAGAGAAGGAGGGGGAGGGGGTTAGGTTTCAGTCCGCCTCAAGAATAGACTCGTTCGGCGCACTGCGCGGCTGCATCGGCTGCCCTGACTGTAAATGGGGTGGGAGGGAGGAACAGCAGTTTTGAAATTTCTCAAAGGCACTCCGCGGCTGCATCGGCTGCACTGACTGGAATCGTGTGCGCGTGGGAGGAACAGAACAGGGTAAGAAGGAGAGAGTGTGGGAGAAGGGGGATGCGGGAGAGCGAGAATGAGAAACACGGACGAATGGGGTGGAGGAGAGATGGCGTAAGAGGGACGCCTGACGAGCAGGAGTGGGTCACGTGACCATTCTGGGGGGCTAGGGAAGGGAATGGGAGGACGTGTAGTGAGTCGAGTTTTGAGTCGACTCAAAACTCGACTCACTACACACGAGGGACGCGTGACGAGCAGGAGTGGGTTGGGTCACGTGACCGTTCTGGGGGCCAGGGAAGGGAATGGGGGAGGACTCACTCATCACTCACCCCTAAGGCGGACCTAGAGAGGCCAAAGTCGCAGAGCTTGAGAGTGGTGTTGGCGTGGAGCAGCGTGTTCTCAGACTTAATGTCCCTGAGAGGAGTGAGGAGGGGAGCAAACATGAGCAGAAACAGAGGGGCATCAGGGGGGCGTGCCGCGTGAGTGAGACGTGCGTGCGATCTCCTAGTGTGGTGAATTGGCGTGGAGCAGCGTGTTCTCAGACTTGATGTCCCTGAAGGGAGTAAAGTAAAAAATGGGCAGCAGGAGAGGAAGACATAGGGATTGGAGTGTGTGCTGGTTGGGGAGTTGGGAACGTGTTGCAGCAGGCAGCTCATGCTTTGGTTAGTGGCAGGAGAGTGGGTAGTAGGTTGTTATTCGCCACTGGCAGCCTCCACAGGTGCCTTATGCCCGACTGCAGGGGTGAGTTAAAATTAGCCAACTTCAATTCAAGGATTCTATTCTAGAGATGTCACCCACCCACGCCACCTGTGCCACACGTGGCAGGAGTGCAGGTACCGGATTGCCACTAACGGACTTCTACTCCAGAGACCTCATCTCACCCACCTGTGCCAGACGTGGCACGAGTGCAGGTAGCGAGTTGCCACCAGCAGTTGCCATATCAGTCGCCTCACGTCCTCTGGTGTTAGTGGCTGCTTGAACCGATACAGATCACCACTGGAAATTGGGGGTGACGGGAGGGGAAAAGGAGACGGGGGAGACTTTTGAGTCGACTCAAAAGCCATATCAGCGCCTCACATCCTCTGGTGTTAGTGGTTGCTTGAACCGATACAAATCACCACTGGGCGTGGGGGAGATGGAGAGGAAAGACAGGGGAGAGAGAGGGGAAAAGGACGGGAAGTGAAGAGAGGCGCAGGGAGTAAAGGGAGGGGACGGGGTTGAGGTGCCATATGAGTCGCCTCACGTCCTCTGGTGTTAGTGGCTGCTTGAACCGATACGGATTGCCACTGGGGAAGGGAAAGACGGAGGAAAAAAGGAGACAGGAGAGACTTATGAGTCGACTCAAAAGCCATATCAGCGCCTCACATCCTCTGGTGTTAGTGGCTACTTGAACCGATACAGATCGCCACTGAGGGAAGGGGAGGTGGAGAGGAACGGCAGGGGAGAGGGAGGGGAAAAGGACGGATTTGACTTCTGAGTCGGTTCTAATAGTCGCCATAGGTATAGAACTATGGCTTATCCTGAGGAGGCATACTCCGTTCGTGGGATGGAGAGGCACAGGTCAGTTGTTTAAGTGCCTCACGAACAGTCACCACAGCACAGGCTTACACTGAGAGGAATAATCTGTAGCCATGATCCACCCGAACAGTATAGCACCACTCTGCATCACAGGGGTTACTTACCCAGAGGCATATTCTGTGGCGATGTAGAGGTCAAATCCCCCCGGCACCTCAGTGGACTTGCGAGTAAACACGTCCCCCTAGGCTAGGCTAGGCAGCCCTGAGCTGAGGCATACTGGCAATGTGAAGGGGGTGCTTACCCCGAGGGCATACTCAGTGGCGATGTAGAGGTCGAATCCCCCCGGCACCTCAGTGGACTTGCGAGTAAACACGTCCGCCACTGAGAGCGAGTGGGGGCGGAGGCTAGGCTAGGCTAGGCTAGGCTAGGCTAGGCGTGCCCTGATGGCAGGCATACTGGCACTTTGCTTACCCTGAGGCATACTCAGTGGCGATGTACAGGTCGAATCCCCCCGGCACCTCAGTAGACTTGCGAGTAAACACGTCCGCCACTGAGAGGGGGAGAAGGGGGGAAGGGGGAGGGAGAGGCGGGGGAGGGGGAGGGGTCGTACACAGGAGGACGATGAATAAGCTGAGGGAGGAAGGGCAGGCAGGAGAGAAGGAAAGTGGGAGATATGGGTGTGGTGCGGATTGAAACGTCTTAAAAATGGTGAGTCCAGTGATAAGGATTTATGCGTTCTTCTCCCATCTGATGACGCATGGTTGTGAGAGATGGCGCATGGCGCAGCAGACCTCTCAGAAAACTCTAATTCGAGTCGACTCAAGCCTCACATTGGGATTTGTGAGTCCAGCTGTCGCAATTGGAATGCTTCCCTGCTTCTTACATCAGCATACTTACGTCTCACATCGGATGACGTATGGGTTTGAGAGGCGGCGCATGATGCAGGCCTCTCGGAACACTCTCATTCGAGTCACATTAGGATTTCTGAGTGTCCAGTAATAGCATAGCAATAAGAATGCATCCGTGCTTCTTACACCCGCCTGGTAAACTCTCACATCGGATGACGTATGGGTGTGAGAGGTGGCGCATGATGCAGACCTCTCGGAGCACTCTCTCTCATATGAGTTGACTCATAACCGACCCTGGAATGTGCGTCCAGTGGTAGTAATCAGACGGACGAAATGCGTGCCTGCATCTCACAACCACATTCTCCTCACATCTGCCTTGTTCTTACGTACATCGGATGACGTATGGGTGTGAGAGGCGGCGCATGATGCAGACCTCTCGAAGCACTCTCTTGGCCAGCATGGGGCAGCACAGCACATCCGCGATGCGCTGCTCACATTACACCACAGGCAGGCAGGCACACGGACACATATACACACACAAACACAAGGATAGGGGATTGGATTAACAGGAGGGTGGAATGTAGCGACTTGGATGACTATGCAGAAGCACATCCGAATGGCCTTGCCTCTTGAGCCTGGATGTCTTCGAGTGAAGGCAACAAGCACGGATTTTATTTTTAGGCGCCTAATAAATCACGACGACTATGCAGAAGCACATCTCGAATGGCCTTGCCTCTTGAGCCTGGACGTGTTTGAGTGAGTGCAAAGTGACTTTTGAGTCGACTCAAAAGTCACCTCGAATGGCCTTGCCTCTTGAGCCTGGACGTGTTCGAGTGAGTGCAACACGCACGAGAAGAGGGACCTCACTGAGAAAGTACTATTTCTGTATACTTTTTGGGAAAAAAAGAGAAGTACAAAGGCAGAAACGAACACCAGCGCAGAAACTAGACTACACTCCAACAACCGCCAAGCCAACCCGTTATATTCACCTTGAGAGCGACGGTTTCGCCCGTCTCATTGTCAGTGGCCTTGCAGACATCTCCGTATGAGCCAGAACCAATCAGACCATGCACCGTATAACGAGATCCCACTGTTGCATTGTAAAGAGGACAGGGAAGGTAGAGAGGGGGGGAGAGGGAGGGAGGAAAGAGGAGGGGGGTTGTTTCGAGGTGATAAGAGAACTGAGGGTTCCAAGCCGAGACAAGTGAAATCAGACACTGCAGCACCGTGTTACGAGACCGCACAGCTATCAGGAACGAGAAACAATGAAACGAGGAGACAGGAGGGTACGGTATGGGAGGGTCACAGGAAGATTGAGAGTGAAATGGAGACCTAAGAACAATAAGAAATTAACAAAACGGCGACAAGAGGACCAAGTAGCTGCCTTCTTGTCAGTGACACGACAATTTTTGCTGCATATCGACGGAATGAGCGAAAAGAAGCTCGGGATAGGGCAATCCTGACCAGCGCTTGTAACGAGGCGAGTTCTGAGGCGTCTCGCGCAAGGACACAGCCTGACTGGCGCTTCCTGTGGAATGTTTACGGGCCTGTGCTCGCATCATATATTCCTGTGCCCGCGTCATATGCTCGCGTCGTAAATTCCTGCGTTCACGCCGTAAAATCCTGTTCTGGCGTCGCGAATTCCTGTTATCGCGTCGTATATTCATGTGCTCGCGTCCTGTGCTCGCATGGTACTGGAACGCCTTTTTCTAAGAATTATTTAAAATCGTCACGCACCTCGCCATGGCTTGTTCTTAACGGTATAAATGCCCGTGCCCGCGTCGTACTGGACCGCCTCTGCGCCTCCGCCGGTCCCGCCGGTCGGCGCGGCGGCCATGCACGGATCTAGACTCCGCTAATGCTGATAGTGTCGCAAATTTAGGTAAGTTAGTGATGATTCAGTCGGGTCATGCACACCCCAGATAAAATATAGTTATGTTATTAGTGATTATAAAGCCGACTCACATGATGGCGCTGGTGTTTTTTAAACAATATCTGGTATCTGAAACGGGTATTCTGACAATGAAAGATGGACTAGGCAGGGCAAGATAGAAACTAGAGAGGTATTTTAGAATGTTCAGGTTCAGGCAACCCTGGGATCAGTTTTGAACAATTTGAGAACCTTTGGGATCAGTTGTTACCTATCTAGAAACTTGGAAAAGGGTTGACCCATCGTTGTATGCGCGTAACCATTTCGCGAACCGTAATTCAGACTTCGGCTTCTTCGCCCCCACCACGTCGCGATCAACCTGGCAGGCTGCGAATCACATTTGGGGCATCGTTCAGAGTTTCCTAGCACCGACATGACAGTTTGCTACGTATGAACCTGTTGGAGGAAGATTTCACGAAGGGGGGAGTGGGTTCGCCAGCATTGGGCCGGGAGCTATTATGCGGCAACGATGTTCTCGCACGGATAATCTGTCACACTGTGTAACAGACGCATGCTGTCGCCCACATGCAGCGAACCCCCTCGAGAATGTCGACTGACACCTCAAAAAACATCTACCACATCAGAGTCATTTTGCGGACCTGACAAATGTTTGGGTAGTAGACGAACCGGTTTCCCACGCACACAATCTCACCAAACCGCATTGAATTCAGGCTATGACACCTCCCTGAAACCAATTTCAGCGCCATTTTCTGCATTGGTTCAGTCAAGGAGATTAATTTCCAGATTCTGTACTACGGAAGAACTTACTCTGATGTGCTTCTCCAGCCGAGAATATAATATTTCCGGTTACGCTTGCACTCCGCACACGCAACCCACCTCATCTCGCTCTTTTTGCTGCTCAGTTGCTAGAGTTAGTCCCGTTAATACCCCTAACAAATCGCCGAACGCAAACAATGTTCCTGAAGGTACGCTGATTTTCCACTTCTCCCTGTTCGGTAATTCTCATCGCGCAATTATCGGTATTACGAGGAACGAGCCGTGCTTTCAAGCCGACGGTAGTTTCCCCAGCATTATTAGAACTTTATTGCGGCCCCGCGTTGTGTGGTTCACGTTTTCGACTTATCCCCTGCTTCTCATCCCTCCTCGTATTTTCAATTCATATGTTCTCTCTGCATATCTTCTCGCGTCCAATCCAGCTGTCTGCGTCTCATCCCGCACAACCACGTACCCCTGCTTACCACCACCAATCCCCTGCTTCTCATCCTACCACATCCAATCCAGCTCTCTGGAGCAAACGCAAGCTAAAAATAAACTACTATTGACTGAGACGCAGCAATAGGAGATGGAGACACAACAACAGTCCATGGGGACGCAGCAAGAGGCGGAGGGAGAGGCTGAAGAATCACCAGCACCAGCACCAGCACCAGAATTTTCATTGCCGCAGCGGCAGCAGCAGGAGCAGAAGCCACCAGCGGTGTTGTCGTTCCAAGATGTGGCGATAGCTGCAGTCAGAGGGACCGGGCTGGTGTCCCACCACCTGCACTCCTTCAATCGCTTCCTGCGCCGCCTCCCTCGCATCGTGGCCGGCCACAGACCAGTTCAGGTGAGTCTCTTCTAGTTGACTCAGTGTTCACCATCACACGACACTGCAGTCAGAGGGACCGAGCTGGTGTCTCCCACCGCCTACACTCCTTCAATTCCTTCCTACGCCGCCTCCCTCGCATCGTGGCTGGCCACAAACCGGTTCAGGTGAGTCTCTTATTTATAGTTGACTTGACTCAGTAGTCACCACACAATAGTCACAGGCAGTGGTCCGCTCACTACTGTGCTCACTCGCTTCCTGCGTATTTTTCTGTTTTCAGAAATCTAAAAAATGTGTTGAACATCTTCTCATAGCCCTCCCTCCCTCGATCCCTTTGAGGGTCAGCAGGGACACAGTAACCCACACCAATCCGTTCTTTCCCCTTTGTTGTTCTATGCTGCTTCTTCGTCCTCCCCATGCATGCACTGCAGATACACATTCCTTTGAAGGTCAGCGACACAGTCGCCCCCGCCAACCCGCGCAACCACAATCTCGAGAGTGTCACATCGCGGGTGGTGGGCGTGGGCGTGCGTATTTTCCTCCAAGACGCCTCCTTCACCCGCCCACTTGTTCATCCTGCTGGGGTAGAAAATCTGGGTGATACTGCTGGTGGTGCTGCTGCTGCTGCTGCTGCTGCTGCTGCACCAGGGACGAGTTCGTTGGCTGGTAGTGGAGCAGATTTTAACGAGGATGAGGATGTGAAGATGGGGGATGAGGAGGAGGAGGATAGGGGAGGGAAGATTGGGAGGAAACGGAGAAAAGAGAAGAAGAGGAGCGGAAGGAAAGGGAAGGGGAAGGAAGCGGAGGAAGGAGTGGGGGGGTTGCGTCCTGACAGCTTGCCAGGGCATAGGTTTCCGCAGCCTGGAGTGGGCATTCTGAGGGAATCTTCTCCGCTGTATCCTAGCCAGGCGCGGCGTGAGCATCGGACTTACAGTGGGGATTTGAGAGGGTCTGTGCGCGTTCAGGTGAGGGGTTGGGGGGTTGGGGAAACATTGTGCAGTTCTGCTACTGTGGGTTGAGGGGGGGTTGAGCACGGCTATTGTTCCGCTGTTGTCTAGCCAAGCATCCATCCTGGTGGGAGAAGTGTGTGGAGAAAGCGGTACAGTGCGGTTTGGGGCGCAGCCAGCCAGGTAAAGGGTTTTTGGGGTTTTGAAAAATATGTTTTTTTTCCCCTTTCTTTCTTAGTGCTCTTCTTATAAATGCTTCCCTATGGTTTCCCCCTCCCAGGTGTTTGAAGTGGTGGAGCGCGGTCGGTATGAGCAGCCCTCCGAAGAGGCCATTCGACAGGCGGAGATGAGGCAGCAGAAGCAGCAGCGGAGAGAGCAGAGGAGGCGGAAGCAGGCAGAGCAGAGGGGGTCTCTCAAGACAGGAAAAGCATGCTCTTTACTCTTATATGCTCTTCCCATGCTCTCCTCTGTTTCCTCCTGTGCTGTTCCCTATTTCCTCCATCCCCCTCACAGGTGTTTGAAGTGGTGGAGCGCGGTCGGTATGAGCAGCCCTCCCCAGAGGCCATTCGACAGGCGGAGATGAGGCATCAGAAGCAGCAGAGGAGAGAGCAGAGGAGGCGGAAGCAGGCAGAGCAGAGGGGGTCTCTCAAGACAGGAAAATAAAACTCTTATATGCTCCCCCTATGCCCTCCCTTCTCTTTCCCAGGTGTTTGAAACGGTGGAGCGTGGTCGGTATGAGAGGCCCTCCCCAGAGGCAGTGCAGCAGGCAGCTATGAGGCAGCAGAAGCAGCAGAGGAGAGAGCAGAGGAGGAGGAAGCAGGCGGAGCAGAGAGGGTCTCTCAAGACTGGGAAACGCTTCGTTCGGTGGGAAGACGAGGAGGATGATGATGGTGATGATTCTGCTGCTGCTGGCGCTGCTGGTAGCACTGCTGCTGGTACTGCAGGTGCTGATGCTGATGGTGCTGGTGGTGCTGGTGGTGGTGTTGCTGATGGTGCGGATGTTGATGTTGATCTGGGGTATGAAGGCTTGCAATGGACCTGGAGGAAAGCAGGAGCGAAGGAGAAGGTTAAGGTAAAGAAGGAGGACGGGGAGGAGGAGGAGGGGGAGGGGGAGAAGGAGGAGGAGGGTGGTGGAGAGGAGGGAGCGGAGGAGAGGGTGGTGAGAGAGTGGGTGGAGAGGGAGGTGCCTCTGGGGTCGGTGCCTGTGATGCTCAAATCCGATGCGTGCCATCTGAACGGCCTATCGGATGAGGACACGTGGCACAAGGAGGAGTGCCCCAAGGACCGAGGAGGGTACTTCATCGTTCGGGGGATGGAGAAGGTGAGGAGAGGTGAGGCGAGGTGCGGAGAGGTGAGGTGAGGTGAGGTGAGGTGAGGTGAGGTGAGGTGAGGTGAGGTGAGGCACGGATCTAGACTCCGCTAATGCTGATAGTGTCGCAAATTTAGGTAAGTTAGTGATGATTCAGTCGGGTCATGCACACCCCAGATAAAATATAGTTATGTTATTAGTGATTATAAAGCCGACTCACATGATGGCGCTGGTGTTTTTTAAACAATATCTGGTATCTGAAACGGGTATTCTGACAATGAAAGATGGACTAGGCAGGGCAAGATAGAAACTAGAGAGGTAATTTTAGAATGTTCAGGTTCAGGCAACCCTGGGATCAGTTTTGAACAATTTGAGAACCTTTGGGATCAGTTGTTACCTATCTAGAAGGTGAGGGGCGAGAGGGATATGGGGGAAGGGAATGGGGGAGCAGGAGAGCGTAGGTGATGCTTCTTGTGACTCAATAATAGGGGGAAGTGTCCCAAGGACCGAGGAGGGTACTTCATTGTCTGGGGGATGGAGAAGGTGAGGGGGGAGAGGGATATGGGGGAAGGGAATGGGGGAGCAGGAGAGCGTAGGTGATGCTTCTTGTGACTCAATAATAGGGGGAAGTGTCCCAAGGACCGAGGAGGGTACTTAATTGTCTGGGGGATGGAGAAGGTGAGGGGGGAGAGGGTGGGAGGGAAGGGAGGGGATGAGTAAGAGAGTGGAGATTTGATTCGACTCAACACCATGCTAGTCCAGCCAGCACCGCCGCCCTCCGGCCTCGTCTGTCTATCATTCCTTCTCCTCCCCACCTCTGCTCCCCCTGTACACCCACAGGTGGTGATTCCCCAGCTCGTGCGAGCACCCAACACCATCCTAGTCAAGACTGCTCCCCACCTTATTCGGCCTCGGTCTGTCTCCCATTCCGTTTCCCCACCTCACCTCCCCTTGTACACCCACAGGTGGTGATTCCCCAGCTCGTGCGAGCATCCAACACCATCCTAGTCAAGACTGCTCCCCACCTTATTCGGCCTCGGTCTGTCTCCCATGCGAGCATCCAACACCATCCTCGTCAAGACTGCTCCCCACCTTATTCGGCCTCGGTCTGTCTCCCATTCCGTTTCCCCACCTCACCTCCCCTTGTGCACCCACAGGTGGTGATTCCCCAGCTCGTGCGAGCATCCAACACCATCCTCGTCGAGACTGCTCCCCACCTTATTCGGCCTCGGTCTGTCTCCCATTCCGTTTCCCCACCTCACCTCCCCTTGTGCACCCACAGGTGGTGATTCCCCAGCTCGTGCGAGCATCCAACACCATCCTCGTCGAGACTGCTCCCCACCTTATTCGGCCTCGGTCTGTCTCCCATTCCGTTTCCCCACCTCACCTCCCCTTGTGCACCCACAGGTGGTGATTCCCCAGCTCGTGCGAGCATCCAACACCATCCTCGTCGAGACTGCTCCCCACCTTATTCGGCCTCGGTCTGTCTCCCATTCCGTTTCCCCACCTCACCTCCCCTTGTGCACCCACAGGTGGTGATTCCCCAGCTCGTGCGAGCATCCAACACCATCCTCGTCGAGACTGCTCCCCACCTTATTCGGCCTCGGTCTGTCTCCCATTCCGTTTCCCCACCTCACCTCCCCTTGTGCACCCACAGGTGGTGATTCCCCAGCTCGTGCGAGCATCCAACACCATCCTCGTCAAGACTGCTCCCCACCTTATTCGGCCTCGGTCTGTCTCCCATTCCGTTTCCCCACCTCACCTCCCCTTGTGCACCCACAGGTGGTGATTCCCCAGCTCGTGCGAGCATCCAACACCATCCTCGTCGAGACTGCTCCCCACCTTATTCGGCCTCGGTCTGTCTCCCATTCCGTTTCCCCACCTCACCTCCCCTTGTGCACCCACAGGTGGTGATTCCCCAGCTCGTGCGAGCATCCAACACCATCCTCGTCGAGACTGCTCCCCACCTTATTCGGCCTCGGTCTGTCTCCCATTCCGTTTCCCCACCTCACCTCCCCTTGTGCACCCACAGGTGGTGATTCCCCAGCTCGTGCGAGCATCCAACACCATCCTCGTCGAGACTGCTCCCCACCTTATTCGGCCTCGGTCTGTCTCCCATTCCGTTTCCCCACCTCACCTCCCCTTGTGCACCCACAGGTGGTGATTCCCCAGCTCGTGCGAGCATCCAACACCATCCTCGTCAAGACTGCTCCCCACCTTATTCGGCCTCGGTCTGTCTCCCATTCCGTTTCCCCACCTCACCTCCCCTTGTGCACCCACAGGTGGTGATTCCCCAGCTCGTGCGAGCATCCAACACCATCCTCGTCAAGACTGCTCCCCACCTTATTCGGCCTCGGTCTGTCTCCCATTCCGTTTCCCCACCTCACCTCCCCTTGTGCACCCACAGGTGGTGATTCCCCAGCTCGTGCGAGCATCCAACACCATCCTCGTCGAGACTGCTCCCCACCTTATTCGGCCTCGGTCTGTCTCCCATTCCGTTTCCCCACCTCACCTCCCCTTGTGCACCCACAGGTGGTGATTCCCCAGCTCGTGCGAGCATCCAACACCATCCTCGTCGAGACTGCTCCCCACCTTATTCGGCCTCGGTCTGTCTCCCATTCCGTTTCCCCACCTCACCTCCCCTTGTGCACCCACAGGTGGTGATTCCCCAGCTCGTGCGAGCATCCAACACCATCCTCGTCGAGACTGCTCCCCACCTTATTCGGCCTCGGTCTGTCTCCCATTCCGTTTCCCCACCTCACCTCCCCTTGTGCACCCACAGGTGGTGATTCCCCAGCTCGTGCGAGCATCCAACACCATCCTCGTCGAGACTGCTCCCCACCTTATTCGGCCTCGGTCTGTCTCCCATTCCGTTTCCCCACCTCACCTCCCCTTGTGCACCCACAGGTGGTGATTCCCCAGCTCGTGCGAGCATCCAACACCATCCTCGTCAAGACTGCTCCCCACCTTATTCGGCCTCGGTCTGTCTCCCATTCCGTTTCCCCACCTCACCTCCCCTTGTGCACCCACAGGTGGTGATTCCCCAGCTCGTGCGAGCATCCAACACCATCCTCGTCGAGACTGCTCCCCACCTTATTCGGCCTCGGTCTGTCTCCCATTCCGTTTCCCCACCTCACCTCCCCTTGTGCACCCACAGGTGGTGATTCCCCAGCTCGTGCGAGCATCCAACACCATCCTCGTCAAGACTGCTCCCCACCTTATTCGGCCTCGGTCTGTCTCCCATTCCGTTTCCCCACCTCACCTCCCCTTGTGCACCCACAGGTGGTGATTCCCCAGCTCGTGCGAGCATCCAACACCATCCTCGTCGAGACTGCTCCCCACCTTATTCGGCCTCGGTCTGTCTCCCATTCCGTTTCCCCACCTCACCTCCCCTTGTGCACCCACAGGTGGTGATTCCCCAGCTCGTGCGAGCATCCAACACCATCCTCGTCGAGACTGCTCCCCACCTTATTCGGCCTCGGTCTGTCTCCCATTCCGTTTCCCCACCTCACCTCCCCTTGTGCACCCACAGGTGGTGATTCCCCAGCTCGTGCGAGCATCCAACACCATCCTCGTCGAGACTGCTCCCCACCTTATTCGGCCTCGGTCTGTCTCCCATTCCGTTTCCCCACCTCACCTCCCCTTGTGCACCCACAGGTGGTGATTCCCCAGCTCGTGCGAGCATCCAACACCATCCTCGTCAAGACTGCTCCCCACCTTATTCGGCCTCGGTCTGTCTCCCATTCCGTTTCCCCACCTCACCTCCCCTTGTGCACCCACAGGTGGTGATTCCCCAGCTCGTGCGAGCATCCAACACCATCCTCGTCGAGACTGCTCCCCACCTTATTCGGCCTCGGTCTGTCTCCCATTCCGTTTCCCCACCTCACCTCCCCTTGTGCACCCACAGGTGGTGATTCCCCAGCTCGTGCGAGCATCCAACACCATCCTCGTCGAGACTGCTCCCCACCTTATTCGGCCTCGGTCTGTCTCCCATTCCGTTTCCCCACCTCACCTCCCCTTGTGCACCCACAGGTGGTGATTCCCCAGCTCGTGCGAGCATCCAACACCATCCTCGTCGAGACTGCTCCCCACCTTATTCGGCCTCGGTCTGTCTCCCATTCCGTTTCCCCACCTCACCTCCCCTTGTGCACCCACAGGTGGTGATTCCCCAGCTCGTGCGAGCACCCAACACCATCCTGGTCGAGCCTGCACCTCCCCTTTCCGGCCTTGTCTGTCCATCATTCCTTCTCCTCCCCACCTCTGCTCCCCCTGTGCACCCACAGGTGGTGATTCCCCAGCTCGTGAGAGCGCCCAACACCATCCTAGTCGAGCCTGCACCGCCCCTTTCCGCTTCTGCTGCTGCCAGAGCTGCTTCGATGTGCGGCGGGGCAGCAGACGGGGCGGGAGCGTGGAGGGACGAGTGGGTGGCGTCCGTTGTCTCTACTGAGGATGATATGGGAGGGCTCAAGGCAGGACCACGGGCAAAAACAAGGTATGTGTCTGATTATCTGATATATAAAATTTTAAAGGTGTGTTTACGTGTATGTTTGTGTGTGTGTGTGTGTGTGTGTGTGTGTGTGTGTGTCTTTCCCCATCTGCCTTCCCTTCTCTTTCTGTGTGTGTGTCGATTGTCGTTTTTGTGTTCCTGCCTATCTATCTTGTATCTCACTCACCCCCATATGTACGGTACGGTATGCGTGTTCCTCTCATCATCCACTTTCGAGACGTCTCAAAACTCGTTTTCGTGTTTGTTTCTGCCTATCTATCTTGTATCTAACTTACCCCCATATGTACGGTATGGCACGTTCCTCTCATCGTCTACTTTTGAGACGTCTCAAAACTCGTTTTCGTGTTTGTTTCTGCCTATCTATCTTGTATCTAACTTACCCCCATATGTACGGTATTGCACGTTCCTCTCATCGTCTACTTTTGAGACGTCTCAAAACTCGTTTTCGTGTTTGTTTCTGCCTATCCATCCTTGGGTACGGTACTTTTGGGATTTCACTCACCCCATGGGTACGGTACGGTATGGCACGTTCCTCTCATCATCCACTTTCTTCTGAATGCCTTGCTTGCTTTTGAGTCGACTCAAAAGCTGTACAGTATGGCACGGCACGTTCCTCTCCTCATCCACTTTCTTCTGATCTGAATGCCCTGATTGCAGGATGATGAGGATGACCTGTTCAGCTCTCGTTCCACCTCACTCCAGCTCAGCACCTGCAACTGCCACGTCAGCTGCAGCAGCTGCCACGTCAGAAACCAGCGCAAGCGCTTCCCGTATCCTTCAAATCCATCTGCCATATTTCAGCTGCCCGGTTAATCTCTTCCTCTTACTCCGTGCTCTGGGAGTTCGGTCAGATAAGGAAATCTTTGAAATGATTCTCGGGCACCCACTGAAAGAAAGTGAGGGCATGGTGGGGGGAGGGGAAGAAAGGGGAGGGAATGGGTCTGGTAGTGTGAGAAGAGGGGGGGGGCGAGAAGCGGGATTAGGTGAAGAAGAGGAGGGAGGGGAGAGGGGGGAGGAGGGAGAGGATGAGGGAGAGGAGGAAGTAGAGAGGGGTGCGTGGTTTAAGGCAAAGAGACACAAGAGAGCAGCGAATGTTATTGTGATAGATGACAGTGATGATGATGCTGATGGCGCAGCAGCAGAAGCAGCTCCTGCTGGTGCTGCTGGGGTTTCCACTGGTGGTGGTGGTGATGGGGGAAGGGGAGGAGAAGTAGGTGAGGAGAAGGAAGGAGGAAAGAGCGACAGAAGCATGGGAGGAGGGATGGAAGGAGGCGAGGAAGCGGAAGCACTGTGGAAGCAGCAGCAGGAGGTGCTGCAGCTGCTGCGGCACACATGTGAAGAGAACCGGAGCATGAACCAGCAGGTGAGACTTTCCAGCCTTCTCTCCCCCAACCCTCTCCCCAAACCTTCCCCCCCAACCCTCTCTTCCAACCCTCCCTTCCATCAATCCCTCCCCCTCCTTCCCCTGATTGCTGTTGCCTCGCTTGAGTCCCTGACACACACCAACAGACCACAAACCCTGACCTGACACACATCCGCATTGTGGCATCTCCACAAACCCTTCAGCTGCCGCCTAATCTCTCTGTCTGTCCCTCAAGTTTTTTACATGCCCCCGACCTCCCTTCCCCTATGCCTCTCCCCTTGCAAGCTGCTCTTGCCTCCCTAGAGTCCCCGACTCACCATCAACTAACCCCCCTTCCAACCCTCCCATCTGACCTTCCATCCAACCCTCCCCCAGGCTGCGCTTGCTTCTCTGGAGTCCCTGACGCACAACAACAAGCTCTCCACGTGGGATCACCTCTGACATTCCTTCCGACCCTCTCTCACCTCCCCCACCCTCCCCCTCCATTTCCCCCAGGCTGCTCTTGCATCTCTCGAGTTTCTGACGCACAACAACAGGCTCTCGGCGTGGGAGCTTCTGGCGAATGACATGTTGCCACATGTCGGCTCCGGGCCCGCCTCTCTCCCCGCCAAGGCACAGTTTGTTGCTTACATGGCTCGAAGGCTCTGCTCCACTTGCCTCGGATATACCCCTCCGGTGCGTTATGAGGCTGCTCTAAGCACTTTGTGCGTTCATGCACCTGGTCAGACCAGACTTAAAGCCGCCTCTCTCTCTGCCAGGTGCAGTTGTCTCTGATTGTCCCACTTTTGAATATATTCGAAAATTTCATCTACCCACTCCACCGTTCCATTTACATTGTTGAGTTGATTCCATCTCATCTCATCTACTTTTAACTAAGCGCATTGGATTCTTTGAATCAACTCTCACAGGATGACCCTCGCAGCCTGACGCACCTCAAAGTGGAAACCTCCGGGAAGCTTCTGGAAGACCAGTTTGTTGCAGGGCTGGACAGCCTGTGCTGGTGGATCGAGCGTGAGGTCACCCGCCACATCAGCAGGTCTCTCAGGAGCCACGTCAGCAGTGGTACAGTCAGCAGCACGAGGATGGGGTGGGGGAGGGAGGGGAGGGGGGTGGCAGTGGCAGCGGCGGTGGGGGAGGAGAGGAGGGAGGGGCTTCTGAGTTATCTAAAGAAGCTGCAGTGTCGAGCTTTGTGAACAGGGACTGCATCTCACTGCGATTGGAGGTGAGTGAACGGGGATTGGGGATCAGCTGGAAAGGGTACAACGGTGTTCAGTTCAGTTCAGACAGTGCATGTATGTGCGCATGCAAGGAGAGGAGGAAGGGGCTTCTGAGTTATCTGAGGAGGCTGCAGTTCTGTGCGTTTGTGAACAGGGACTGCATCTCACTGCAATTGGAGGTGAGTGAAAGAAGGGGGGGATCAGCTGAAAAGGGTATACCACTGGTCAGGTCAGGTCAGACAGTCCATGCAAGGAGAGAGAGGGGGGCAGTCAGAGAGGGGTTCAGCCTAAGGTATACCACTGGTCAGGTCAGACAGTGCATGTGTGTGTGCTTGGAGAGGAGGGAGGGTCTGCTTGAAGATCTGAAGCGGCTGCAGTACCGTGCATTTGTGAACAGGGACTGCATCTCACTGCGATTGGAGGTGAGTGAAAGGGGGTAGGGGCTCCTGAGTTATCTGAAGCGGCTGCAGTGCCGTGCATTTGTGAATAGAGACTGCATTTCACTGCGATTGGAGGTGAGTGAACGGGGATAGGGGCTCCTGAGTTATCTGAAGCGGCTGCAGTGCCGTGCATTTGTGAATAGAGACTGCATTTCACTGCGATTGGAGGTGAGTGAACGGGGATAGGGGCTCCTGAGTTATCTGAAGTGGCTGCAGTGCCGTGCATTTGTGAATAGAGACTGCATCTCACTGCGATTGGAGGTGAGTGAAAGGAGTTGACTTTTGAGTCGACTCGTCAGCGGCTGCAGTACCATGCGTTTGTGAACAAAGACTGCATCTCACTGCGATTGGAGGTGAGTGGAAGGAGTTGACTTTTGAGTCGACTCGTCAGCGGCTGCAGTACCATGCGTTTGTGAATAGAGACTGCATCTCACTGCGATTGGAGGTGAGTGAAAGGAGTTGACTTTTGAGTCGACTCGTCAGCGGCTGCAGTACCATGCGTTTGTGAACAAAGACTGCATCTCACTGCGATTGGAATTGGAGGTGAGTGAAAGCAGGGGTCAGTCAAAGAGGGGATCAGAGTCTCAGACAGGTAAAAGAGGATTCGGTTTCAGGGAGAGGGTAAGTTGTGCAGTTTATATCAAATCAGGGGTGAGATTCAGTCAAAGAGGGGTAAGTTGTGCAGGCAGAGGTGAGTGAAAGCAGGTGTCAGTCAAAGAGGGGGTCAGAGTCTCAGACAGAGCTGTGCGTTTGTGAACAAAGACTGCATCTCACTGCGATTGGAGGTGAGTGAAAAGGGGAATTCAGTTGGAAAGGGTACAGTTTAGTCTCGGTTCAGTTCAGTCAGTGCATGCTGTGCGTTTGTGAACAAAGGCTGCATGTCACTGCGATTGGAATTTGGAGGTGAGTGAAAGCAGGGGTCGGTCAAAGAGGGGATCAGAGTCTCAGACAGGTAAAAGAGGATTCAGTTTCAAATCAGTTTCGTGGAGAGGGTAAGTTGTGCAGTTTATTTATATCAAATCAGGGGCAGTACTTGCAAAGCAAGGAGAGGGGGGTGGGGCTGCTGGGGTATCTCAAGTGACTGCAGTGCCGCTCTAATCATTCACTCTCTCACTCACTCACACTCTCTCACTCACTCACTCGCTCACTCGCTCACTGACTCTGCCACTCACTCACTCACTCATTCACCTGCGCTAGCTCACCCTCTCGCTTACTCTGTTTCCTATCCCTCCCCTTGCTTCCAGCCGGCTCTATCAACCGGAAACTGGCACCGGCCTGGGAGCTACGGCCGAGCCAAAGGCGGCAGGTTCGGCAGCAGCAGCCAGGGCAGGTTCGGAAGCGGGTGGTACGGGACGAGCAGCAGCAGTCTGCATGCGAGTGAGCCGCTCAACCGGCTGTCTGCTGCGGCAGCAATGTCACACCTGAGGAGGATGGAGGTGCCTTCCCATCGGTCCAACACCTCTGCTGCTGCCCGGCAGATGTGAGTCTCTTGCTTCTCCAATTGAGTCCCAAAGACTGTTGGCTGTCTGCTGCGGCAGCACTGTCACACCTGAGCTGAGGAGGATGGAGGTGCCTTCCCATCGATCCAACACCTCTGCTGCTGCCAGGCAGATGTGAGTTGCTTCTTGAATGCACCCTCTCAACTCAAGGAATGTACATGTGCGTAGCTGCAACTATAAAAATGTATTTGTGTATATGTGGGCCAGGGTACAGTGTTGAAGTTCCATGTTATTTTTAATGCAAAGTGAACCTTACTCTCTCCATGCATTCCCCCCCTCTCCCCCACGTCCCAAACCCCACCCACGCCCCCCCCCTTATGCCAGCCATGCGACTTTTTTCAGCCGCATCTGCCCACTAGAAACCCCCAAGTCCGAGGCGATAGGGTTCTCGCTCAACCTGGCCCTTGCTACCTGCGTCTCTGGGGAGGGGTTGAGACACCTAAATTATTTCAACCTTCCCCCCTCTTCCCCCACCTTCCCACCCTTCCCCCACGTCCCAAACCCCACCCCCGCTCCCCCCCCTTGTGCCAGCCATGCGACATTTTTCGGCCACATCTGCCCTCTTGAAACCACCAAGTCCGAGGCGATAGGGTTCTCCCTTAAAATCCCACACCCACACCCACGCCCACACCCACGCTTGCTCCCCCCCACCCACGCTTGCTCTCCCCCACCCCATCCCAGCCATGCGACATTCTTCGGCCGCATCTGCCCTCTTGAAACCCCCAAGTCCGAGGCAATAGGGTTCTCCCTCAACCTAGCCCTTGCTGCCTGCGTCTCTGGGGAGGGGTTGAGGTACCTAAAACATCCAACCCCACCTTCCCCCCCTGCCCCCCTTTTCCCCACATCCCACCCCGCTTCCCAACCCCCCCGTCGCTCCCTTACCTCCCAACCCCCACCTCCAATCCCCCCCTTTATCCCAGTCACACGACATTCTTTGGTCGCATCTGCCCTCTTGAAACCCCCAAGTCCGAGGCGATAGGGTTTTCCCTCAACCTCGCCCTTGCTGCCTGCGTCTCTGGGGGTGGGGGGGAGGAGGAAGGAGATGATAAGGAGGACGAGAAGGATAAGAGGGAAGACGGGAAAGACAAGGAAAGAGATGGTGCCAAAGCGGTTGAGAGTGGTGATGATGATGACATTTGGGCTTTGGACGACATTGGTGACGGTGCTGATAACGCTTGGGCTTTGGACAATGATGGTGGTGATAGTGATGATGGTCGTGGTGGTGGTGGTGTGAGAAAGGTTACGGGAGAGGGACGCGTTGCAGCAAGAGGTGGTGGGATGCAGGAGAATGGAATTGCGATGGGTGTGAGCGGTGACGTGGCGTTTGGTGATTGGTGGCTGGTGAAGGAACTGCAGACACGTGGCATGGTCTTGCTAGAGGGTTTAAGAGAGAGGAGAGAGGGTGAGGGTGTGAGAGGAGGAGGAGGAGGAGGAGGAGGAGGAGGAGGAGGAGGAGGAGGAGGAGGAGGAGGAGGAGGAGAAGTGTGGGTGAATGGGCGGCCAGTCGGGTGGCATGCTGACCTGGCAGAGCTGACTAGGCAGATGAGGAGGAAGAGGCAAAAAGGCGCCAAGAGATACAGAGAGGTGTGCCTTTCCTTCCTGTCCACCTCCCTTCCTACATGTCATCTTTGTCCACTTCTCTTGTTTCTTTCCTTGTATGATCCAGCTACTAACAAATGACTGTTTCTAAACCTAACCTTCTACTACTCGCTGTTCTCTCCCCTTCTTCTCTTGTTATCGCTTTTCACTGTTCCCTTCTTTAACACCGCATTTCACCCTATTTCACCGTGTCATCTCACTCCCCTGCACCCCCTGCCAGCTCGGCATGGCCTATCACACCGCGCTGCACTCGCTGCACCTCGCCTCCTTCCCTGGTCGCATCCTCCCTGTGCTGTGGTGTGGTGCCTAGTGCATTGACTCATGTGTATCTCCCACTTCCTCCCCAACCCTCTCCTTCTCCCTCGCAGCTGGGCATGGCCTATCACCCCGCGCTGCACTCGCTCCACCTCGCCTCCTCCCCTGGTCGCATCCTCCGGCCCTTGCTGCTGCAACAGCCACCCATCGACCTGCCTCACAGTACCAGCAGCAGCAACAGCCACGGCTGGCAGCAGGCATGGCAGGGCATGCTCGCATCAGGGGCAGTGGAATATCTAGACGCAGCAGAGGAGGCGGCAAACTGCCTGCCCGCCCCAGCAGAACCCTTTCTTGCTGCTGAGCAGCACAGCAAGGGATTCGTCGTGGCAAGCCCGAAGGATGAAAACTGTGCAGCACGGGATGCTCGGCAGCAGTCTCCAGACTCTACCCTGTCTCTGTCATCGTTTCTGGACTCGCCTGGTTTGGCTGCATCTGCTCGCTACTCCCACGTGGAGATTCATCCGGAGCTGGTGTTTGGAGTCATTGCGTCGGCTCTGCCGTTTGTGAATCACAATGGTGTTTCTCGCAGCACCGGGGCTGCTCACATGTTCAAACAGGTGAGGGACGGATGGGAGAGGGGGGAAATGTGAGCATGGCCGCTCACATGCAGAGCAGATTGACTCTGATCGCATCAGCCCTGCCGTTTGTGAATCACAATGGTGTTTCTCGCAGCACCGGGGCTGCTCACATGTTCAAACAGGTGAGGGAGGGGCCGAAGTAATGTAACGAACGGTTACTGCCCCTTCTAAATTGTCAGTTTTGTGATCCTCTCATAATCTTCTAGTCGACTCCAAAATCGTTGAATCATTGAATCTGCCTGGCGCTGGTGCTTGGATCACTTGTTACTTCCTTTCATTTGCGCTTTTTGAGGCGCCTAAAAAACCGCTGGCGCTGGCGCTTCCCATTTAGACTTTTGAGTCGACTCAAAAGTCACCTCAAAAACCGCTGGCGCTGGCGCTTCCCATTTAGAATTTTGAGTCGTCTCAAAAGTCACCTCAAAAACCGCTGGCGCTGGCGCTTCCCATTTAGACTTTTGAGTCGACTCAAAAGTCACCTCAAAAACCGCTGGCGCTGGCGCTTCCCATTTTCCCCCTTCCCTCATTCTTCACTTCCCCCCCTCTCCCTTCCATAGGCCCTGGGCGTGCCACCATACAACCTCCCCGATCGCTCGGATCGCACGCTCTTCGCTCTGTACTACCCACAGCGACCGCTGTTGGGGCCCCAGAGATGCCACAAGGCACTTGCCTCTTTCCTGTTGCCTCGCCCCGCTCCCCTCTTCCCCCCTCCACCCCTTCCTTCTACAGGCCATGGGCGTGCCAGCATACAACCTCCCCGATCGCTCGGATCGCACGCTCTTCGCTCTGCACTACTCCCAGCGGCCCCTGCTGGCCTCCAGAGATTACCACAAGCCTGGCTGACCCCCTCCTCTTCTCCCATCTCCCCCTTCCCCCATCCCTCCCTACAGGCCATGGGCGTACCACCCTACGACCTGCCCCATCGTTCTGACTGCACGCTCTTCACTCTGCACTATCCCCAGCGGCCCCTGGTTACAAATCATTAGTTCCGTGGCTGACCCCCTTTCTTCTCCCATCTCCCCACTACTCTATTCCAACAGGCCATGGGCGTGCCAGCATACAATCTCCCCCGTCACTCCGACCGCACACTCTTTGCTCTGCACTACCCCCAGAAGCCCCTCCCGATTCCACTTCCTCGTTCCTGCCCTCCCTCATCTCTCCCACAGGCCATGGGCGTGCCACCATACAACCGTCCCCATCGCTCCGATCGCACGCTCTTCGCCCTGCACCCGCAGCGGCCCCTGATGGCCTTCAGAGTGCCCTGTGTGTATGTCTGCCTGACTTCTCCCTCTCTTTCCTCCATCTCCTCTACAGGCCATGGGTGTGCCAGCATACAACCTCCCCCGTCACTCCGACCGCACGCTCTTCGCTCTGCACTACCCCCAGCGACCACTCGTTGCATCCAAAGATTGCCGCAAGCCTGGCTAACCCCCTCCTCTTCTCCCATCTCCCCCCTTCCCCCATCGCTCCCTTCAGGCCATGGGCGTGTCAGCATACAACCTCCCCCATCGCTCCGACCGCACGCTCTTCGCACTGCACTACCCGCAGAGACCACTCGTTGCATCCAGAATTGCTGAACTCGCCACAGGCCTTTCAGACTTCCCCAATGGGCAGAACGCCATCGTCGCTGTCATGAGCGCTGGATACAACCAGGTACAGACAGTGCGGTGCTGGTAGGTGGCTATGGGTCCGCTCCTTTGTCACTCTGCACTACCCCCAGCGGCCCCTCGTGGCTTCCAGAATTGCTGAGCTAGCCACGGGACTGGCAGACTTCCCCAATGGGCAGAACGCCATCGTTGCCGTCATGAGCGCGGGGTACAACCAGGTGCGTTGTGGTGCTCGTAGGTACTAGTAGGTGGGGAGGGGTGCACTGTACACGCTCTTCTCTACGCTTCGCTTGCTCTGCACTACCCCCAGCGGCCTGTGATGACTTCCAGAGTGGCACAACTCGCCGCTGGCTTGGCTGACTTCCCCAATGGGCAGAATGCCGTTGTCGCTGTGATGAGCGCTGGATACAACCAGGTACAGACAGTGCGGTGCTGGTAGGTGGCTATGGGTCCGCTCCTTTGTCACTCTGCACTACCCCCAGCGGCCCCTCGTGGCATCCAAACTTGCAGAGCTCGCCACGGGACTGGCAGACTTCCCCAATGGGCAGAACGCCATCGTTGCTGTGATGAGCGCTGGCTACAACCAGGTAGGCGGGGATGGGTGCACTGTGCAGGTTCTGCTGTTCGCTCTGCTCTGCACTACCCCCAGCGGCCCCTCGTGGGCTCCAGAATTGCTGAACTCGCGAGTGGCCTTTCAGACTTCCCCAATGGGCAGAATGCCATCGTCGCTGTCATGAGTGCTGGCTACAACCAGGTAGGCGGGGATGGGTGCACTGTGCAGGTTCTGCTGTTCGCACTACCCCCAGCGGCCCCTCGTGGCATCCAAAATTGCTGAACTCGCCACGGGACTGGCAGACTTCCCCAATGGGCAGAACGCCATTGTTGCCGTGAAGAGTGCTGGATACAACCAGGTACGGTGTGGTGCTGCGGGATTGAACTCAGTTTGATGCTGTGCGGGTGGGTTTTAGTGGGTTTCTCCCTCTGCTGCACTGCCTCAGCCACAGGCCTGGCCTCCTGGCTGGCTTGTCATGTGCCAATCCAATGGGCAGAACGCCATCGCTGCTGTCATGTGTGCAGGATGACTTTTGAGTCGACTCAAAAGGCCGCCTGGCTGGCTTGTCATGTGCCAATCCAATGGGCAGAACGCCATCGCTGCTGTCATGTGTGCAGGATGACTTTTGAGTCGACTCAAAAGGCCGCCTGGCTGGCTTGTCATGTGCCAATCCAATGGGCAGAACGCCATCGCTGCTGTCATGTGTGCAGGATCCAACCAGGTACAACCATGCTGGAACTGCTGAAATCACCCCCCCCCCCCTCTCCTCTCCCTCCTCCCCCTCTACCTAACGCCCCCATCAGGAGGATGCGTTGATAATCAACCAGGCATCGGTAGACAGAGGGCTGTTTGGCATTCTATGGTGTGAAGTGTACCTCCTTGCAGTTTCCCACTTCACTTAAACCCTCTCATCCCTTACCCCCCACTTCCCCCTGCCCCCATCCCCCCACTCCCCCATCAGGAGGACGCATTGATCATCAACCAGGCATCGGTAGACAGAGGGCTGTTTGGCTTCAGAGCGCCCCATTTCCAAAGCGAGTTGTGAGGCGCTTCAACCATTGTTGCTGTCCCCGCTCCTCTCCTCTTTCACCTCCCACACCCATCAGGAGGACGCGTTGATCATCAACCAGGCGTCGGTCGACAGAGGGCTGTTTGGTGTTGTGTCTGAGGCACCGAAAGCATTGTTGCTGTTTCTTCCGCCCCTAAAAGCCTCTCATCGCCTACCACCCTCCCCTCCCTCCCACCACCCATCAGGAGGACGCATTGATCATCAACCAGGCGTCGGTCGACAGAGGGCTGTTTGGTGGTGTCTCTGAGGCACCGAAAGCATTGTTGCTGTTTCCTCCGCCCCTAAAAGCCTCTCATCGCCTGCCACCCTCCCCTCCCTCCCACCACCCATCAGGAGGACGCGCTGATCGTCAACCAGGCGTCGGTCGACAGAGGGCTGTTTGGCAGCACCACGTTCAGAAGCTTCGTGGAAGAGGAGGTGAGCTCAGCTGTATAGGTAGATGTGGCCCTTGGGTAAGGGAGAGAGACAATTTTGAAATTTCTCAAAACGACAAGTGGAAGAGCAGAATCAAAATCAGCCACCCTACCAAATTCCTGCCTTCAGCTTTTTCTGTTTATTTGGCTCAAAAGGCGTTCGCATGCCGGTTTCAACGGGCTAAAACCTAGGAACTCCTTTTTCTCTCTCTCGTGTGCCTCTTGGCAGGGCAAGGCTGGTCGGGGCAAGGTGGAAGTGACCTGGAGGTTCGGCAAACCGAGCCTGGACGGGGGGGCAGGAGCGGCTTGGCCCGGGGCTGCTGAGCCTGCTGGTTTGGGAGTTGGTGTGGGGGATATGGAGGTGGAGGAAGGGGGTGGGGATGGGTGGGGAGGGAAGGGAGTGGAAGGGGGAGGTGGGGGGTGGGGGAGAGGGAATGGGGAAGGAGGAGGCGGAGGGGGAGGGTGGGGGGGAGGTGGATACGGGGGGGATGGGGCTTGGGGAGGGGGAGGGGGGGACGCGGGGGGGGGCTGGGGAGGGGGAGGGGGAGAGGTGGGGGGAGGTTGGGGAGGGGGAGGGGGAGGGGGAGAGGGAGGGGGAGATGGGGATACAGGATGGGGAGGGGATGGAGGGACAGGTGAGGTGGGCACAGGGGGAGGAGCGGGAGGATGGGGAGGAGGAGGGGGAGGAGGGGGAGGGGAAGGAGGGGGAGGAATGGGAGGAGAGGGGGGGGGGGGAAGGAGCGGAAGTAGCTGCTGCTTCAGGAAAAGCTGGGCGTGCGGGATGGGATGCGGATGGTCTTACCGATAGTGATAATGATGCTGCTGCTGGTGCTGGTGCTGGTGCTGGCGGTGGTGCTGGTGCTGCTGTTGCGACTTCCGAGGCACCTCAAAAGGTGGCTGCAGGGAAGGCTGGGCGTGCTGGGTGGGATGCGGATGGTCTTACTGATAGCGATGATGATGGTGGTGCTGGTGGTGGTTCCAATGGTGGTGATGGTGGTCGGCGAAGGAGGGGAAGGAGAGGTGGACAAGAAGAGGCACGACCCATTCGAGCCAAGGCAGAGCCCATTGATCTCACACAAGATGATGGTGCTGACGTGGCGATGGCACAGGCTGGCGAGAAGGAGGCCACGTGGCAAGGTGATGATGATGTGGCGGTCAAGCGAGATGATGACGTGGCAGTGATTCAAGAGACGGGTGCATGGGGGAAGCAAGCAGGAGGGTCAGGGGCAGCAGCAGCAGATGCTGAGATGCGTCAGAATGAAGAAGGAGCAGAAGCAGCAGAAGTAGGAGCAGGGGCAGGAACAACAGGAGGAGAAGGAACGGCAGCAGGGTGGGGTGAGAGGAGTGAGAGGGAGGAGTGTGGGAATGGTGGTTCGGGCGGAAGTGAGAGGGTGGAGGGTGGGGGTGGTGGGTGGGGTGGGAGTGAAGCAGCAGGCGAGGCAGGTGGGGGTGTTGGTTGGGGTGAGGGTGATGGTACTGCTGCTGCTGCCGCTGGTGCGGATAACAGTGGTGGTGGGTGCGGGAGTGATGCTGCTGATGCTGCTGCTGGTGCTGAAGGTGGGGAGGATGGTGATGGTGGGTGGGGTGGTGGTAATGGTGAGGGTGATGGTGCTGCTGCCGCTGGTGCAGAGAACGGTGATGGTATTGATCGTGGCGGTGTTGGTCGTGATGGTATTGGTCGTGATGGCAAGTGGGGGAGTGCTGCTGCTGATTCTGCTGCTCGTAGGGACGGTGGCGATGGTTGGGGTGGTGATGCGGGTGGGAGTGGTGAGGGTGGCGCATGGGGTAATGAGGAGGATACAGGAAGAGTGGGACGAGGGGCAGCAACAGCAGAAGCAGAAGCAGGGGGATGGAGTGCAAGGGCCCAGGAGGGGCACGCGGGTGGTGGGTTGAATGACAGTGGAGGAGGGGAAGGAGGGGGAGGAGGGGGAGGGTGGGGTGCTGCTGCTGGCGCTAGTGGCGCTGATAATGGTGGTGCTGCTGGTGATGATGGTGCTGCTGATACTGCTGGTGTTGCTGGTCGTGGTGGTGGGTGGGGGAGTGGTGCTGCTGATGCCGGTGATGGGGGTGGTTGGGGTGGTGGGGGGGGTGAAGAGAAGGATAGAGGAAGAGGGGCAGGATTAGCAGCAACAGCAGCAGAAGCAGGGGGGTGGGGTGCAAGTGACAAGGTGGGGGGCGAGGGTGGTGGGGTGAATGGCAGTGCGGGCGGAGGAAGAGGGGAAGGAGAGGGAGGAGGAGAAGGAGGGGGGGGAGAGGGAGGAAGGGGAGGAGCGGGAGGAAGGGGAGGAGAGGGAGGAGGAGGAGGAGGAGGAGGAGGAGGAGGAGGAGGAGGAGGAGGAGGAGGAGGAGGAGGAGGAGGAGGAGGAGGAGGAGGAGGAGGAGGAGGGTGGGGTGCTGGTGGGGCCAGTGGTGCTGGTGGCGGTGGTGGTACTAGTCGTGGTGCAGGGTGGGGGACTGCTGACGACGCTGACGCTGATGCTGGTCCCAATGACGGTGGGGGTGGTGGGGGCGGTGCTCGTGATGCTGCTGGTACTGGAGGGGGTGGTTGGGGCGGTGATGGTGATGCTGGTCGCAAAAGTGGTGATGCTGATGATGGTGGGAGTGGTTGGGGTGGGGCTAGTGGTGCTGGTGGCGGTGGTGGTACTAGTCGTGGCGGGTGGGGGACTGCTGATGCTGATGCTGATGCTGGTGGTGGTGGTGGGGGTGGTTGGGGTGGTATGGGTGATGCCGCTGGTAGTGGTAGAGGTGGTGGTGCTGGTGGTGGTGCTGGTGGTGGTGCTGGTGGTGCTACTGGTGGTGCTGCTGGTGGTGCTGCTGGTGGTGCTGCTGGTGGTGGGGGTGCTGCCGCTGGTGCTGGTGAGGGTGGGGGTGGTTGGGGTGGTGGTGCTGGTGATGCATCTGGTGCTGTTGCTGCTAGTGGGGGTGGTTGGGGTGGTACGAATGATGCTGCTGCTGCTGGTGGTGGTGCTGGTGAGGGTGGGGGTGGGGCGGGAGGGGGGTGGGGAGGAGGTGGTGGAGAGGGGGGATGGGGAGGAGGTGGGGGAGGGGGAGGAGGGTGGAGCGGGGGAGGTTGGGGTAAGGAGAGAGGGCAGAGTGAGGGTGATGGGGCTGGTGGGAACACAAGAGATGGAGAGGACGGGTGGGGAGGAGGAGGGGGTGGAGGGGGTGGTGGGGATGGTGGGGATGGGTGGGGAGGCGGAAGAGGAGGTGGGGATGGGTGGAGAGGTAGAGAGGATGGGGGAGACGAGGGCGGACGGGGGGAAAGGGGGTGGAGGGGGAGGGGAGGAAGGGAGAGGGGTCGCGGGAGGGGAAGGGGAAGGGGGAGGGGAAACGATTCGTCGGGAGACAGGGAGCAAGGGGATGGGGGGGTCGATGGAGGAGGGGGGACTGGATGGGGGGGAGGCGGATCGGGGGGAGGTGGATGGGGGGGAGGAGGGGGAGGCGGATGGGGGGAAGGTGGGGAAGGGGAAGGTGGAGGGGGAGGAGAGCGTGGGTTCAGGGGAGATAGAGATGGGGGGAACCGATGGGGGGGAGGAGGGGGAGGCGGATGGGGGGGAGGTGGGGGAGGAGATGGGGGAGAAGAGGAAGGGAGAAGCTTTGGGGGAAGCGAAAGAGGCAGGGGCAGGGGCAGGGGCAGGGGGAGGGGCAGGGGGAGGGGAAGAGGAGACGGGGATTTCCAAGGAGGGAGAGGTGGTGGAGGGAGAGGGGGGCGAGACTATCATGGGGAGCGGAGCGAACGGAGGGAGCGGCCGAAGAGATGGTCCCAATATGATCATCTGGGGGAGAATGGGCTTCCGAAAGTGGGCCATCCGTTGCTGTGGCCGGGAGAAGTGGTTGGGGGGACCACAGGCGATGGGGGAGGGGGGATGGGCGATGGGGGAACGGGGATGGGAGATGGGGGAGGGGGGATGGGAAATGGGGGAGGTGGGACAGGAGGGGAGGTTGGGGGAGCAGGGGCAGGGGGAGCAAGCACAGCGGAGGGGGCAACAGGAGAGAAGGTGGCAGGGATTAGGGTTTACTGTAGCTCGGGCGTGGGGGCAGGGAGCGCGGGGGTGTGGGGGAGGAGTGTGGCGGATCGAGGTATTCTCATCGGACATGTGGCGGCTGGGGTAAGTCTGAGAGGGTTGCAGGGGTAACTGCTGGAATGAATGAGCGCATATCCGGGGTAGGGTCTACTGAGTTGACCCAAACATTGAGGTGTGCTTGGAGGGAGGGAGAGAGCCATTCTGATTGGCCACGTGGCGGCTGGGGTGAGTGGAACTTTTTTGCTGGGTTGCGTGTATATCTAGAGACTAGAGTCTAAGCATTTTTAAGTTGTCTCAAGGATCAAGCGGTGTTTGGAGGGAAGGAGAGAGCCTTTCTCATTAGCAACATGCCGGCTGGGATGAGTCGCTTTTTCTGCAGGTGCCTAAGGTGGAAGGAGGAGGCGTTTGCGGCGTCTCAAAGATCAATGTTCTTTTGAGACGTCTCAAAGACTCACTTTTTCAACACGAATATCAATGTTCTTCTGGAGTGTCACTTGGAGGGCACGTGTAAAAAGTGAGACTCACTTTGAGACGTCTCAAAGACTCACTTTTTCAACACGAAGATCAATGTTCTTCTGGAGTGTCACATGGAGGGAGTAGGCTCCCTTTGAGACGTCTCAAAAGTCGTTTGCGGCGTCTCAAAGATCAATGTTCTTCTGGAGTCTCACTTGGAGGGAGTAGGCCATCTCGCCTCTCGCATAAACACCGCCTCTTCCCGTTTGCTCCCTAGTTTTGAGGCGCCTCAAAACTAGGAGGCGTTTGCGGCGTCTAAAAAAATCAATGTTCTTCTGGAGTCTCACGTGGAGACGCCGCTAACACCGTCTCTCCCCGCCTCACTTGGAGGGAGTAGGCTCCCTCGCATAAACACCGCCTCTCCCCGCCTGCTCCCTCCCTTCTCACTCCCTCCCCTCCAGCCGCCCTAATTTACGACCACAGGGGAGAAGGTAGAAGTTTGTAGCCTCATGGTATCCCAGGTGGAGGGGGGAGGCGGCATAGTGGATACTGCACTCGTGTACCTCGTCGCCTCACATTTCCCCTTTCCCCTCCCTTCTCACTCCTTCCCCTCCAGCCTCCTTGATTGACGGCCGCAGGGGAGGAGGAGAAAGTTTGTAGTGTCATGGTGTCACAGGGGGAGGGGGGAGGCGGCATAGTGGATACTTCTCACCTACTTCACACACCCCTCCATCTGCTGCTTCCATGTCACCTCCTCACCCCACATCCCCCGCTTCTCTCCCCTCCCCTCCCCTCCAGCTGTCCCGTCTGACTGCCACAGGGGAGGAAGAGCAATTTCGTAGTCTCATGGTATCACAGGTGGAGGGGGGAGGCGGCATAGTGGACACTGCTCTCATGGTGCTGAGAGTTTTGAGACATCTCAAAACGACTTTTGAGACGTCCCAAAAAGGGGGAGGCGGCATAGTGGATGCTGCTCTCATGGTGCTGAGAGGCGGTCAGAGTATACCTCGTGTCTCTCCCCTCCCTTGCCCGTATTTCTCAGCCGCCCCGATTCACAGCCACAGGGGAGGAGGAAAAAGTTCGTAATCTCATGGTGTCCCAGGTGGAGGGGGGAGGCGGCATAGTGGATGCTGCTCGCATGGACACAGACAGACACGGCGTGCGGCTTGGCAGGGTGAGTGATTCCTTTACGGGTCTGATCCGTTTGCCTCTCTCTACGCACTAACTCTCTCTTCGCTATCCTATCCGCCTCCCTTTCCTCGGCGTAGTGGGTGCTGCTCGCATGGACGTGGATAGTCACGGCGTGTGGTTAAGGAGGGTGAGTCCCACTCCCGCACAGAGTGAGGTGACTTTTGAGTCGACTCAAAAGTCACGCACAGAGTGAGTCTGAGTCTGTGTAGGAGGTGGAGGGGGGAGGCGGGATTGGGGATGCTGTTTGCACGGACATGGACAGTCATGGCGTATGGGTGCTCGCATGGGGAGTGGCATATGCTGCTGCTGCTGCCTCCGCTCCTGCCGCTGCTGCTGCCGCTGCTGCTGCTGTTTCTCACACTTACTGTCTCAGCTTCCCTTCCCTTCCCCTTCTCTCTCCCCTCCCCAGGTGCGCCTGCGCGCAACCCTCCGCCCAGAGGTGGGGGACAAGCTCACGAGCCGGCACGGGCAGAAGGGGGTCATCGGCCGCGTGCTGCCCTCCCGCTCTTTACCCCCGCCCCGCCCTCTCTCCTTCACGCTCACACACACTCGCGCCCCTTCCCTCCCCTCCCCAGGTTCGTCTGCGCGCCACACTGCGACCAGAGGTGGGGGACAAGCTGACGAGTCAGCATGGGCAGAAGGGGGTCATTGGCCGCGTGCTGCCCTCCCCCTCTCTCCCCCCACCCCCCTTTTGTCCTCCACGCTCACATAAACTCTCGCCCCATTCCTCTCCTCCCCAGGTTCGCCTGCGTGCAACGCTTCGACCCGAAGTCGGGGATAAGCTGACGAGCCGGCACGGGCAGAAGGGGGTCATTGGTCGCGTGCTGCCCTCCCACTCTTTACCCCCGCCCCGCCCTCTTTCCTTCACGCTCACACACACTCGCGCCCCTTCCCTCCCCTCCCCAGGTTCGTCTGCGCGCCACACTGCGACCAGAGGTGGGGGACAAGCTCACGAGCAGGCACGGGCAGAAGGGGGTCATTGGCCGCGTGCCGCCCTCCCACGACCTGCCCTGGTTTGACGGTGTTGCCAGAATCAGTTCCTCTTTTAAAGCCCCTGCTGCTGACAGTGCTGGTGCTGGTGCTGTAGCAGCAGCAGCGGTGGGAACGCCACTAGGGGTGGTACCAGATATGGTGATCAACCCACACGCGCTGCCCTCCCGCATGACACTGGGGCAAGTCATGGAAGCACTGTTCGCCAAGGTACGTATCGCACCGGCCTGCACTGCACTGCACCACACAGTGCATAGCATTGCACCGCCACTAGGGGTGGCACCAGATCTTGTCCTGCTCCTCGTTACACCACCTGCTCCTCATGCCCCTCCACCCCCCCCCCCCCCCTCTCCTTCCCACTCCATCCTGCACAGGTAGCATGCTCCCCCGTGCAAGAGATAAGCAGCAATAAAAGCATCCCCTCCTTCTCCGCCTGCTCCTCTGACCTCTGGGGCTCGGACCTACTCTCTGAAGCACAGCAGCGGCTGCGCAGGTAAACTCACTATCTCGTCTTACTCACTCCCCTTCTGCTCCTCTCTTCTCCGCCTGCTCAACTGACACTCCCCTCCTCCTCCGCCTGCTCCTTGGACCTCCTAGCGCCTTATCTCTGAAGCGCAGCAGTGGCTGCGCAGGTAATCCCTCTTGCTCTTTGTCCACATTTTACCCATTTATCCATGCCAATGAGTCCCAATCCCCACCCCATCCCACCCCTTTCCCACCCCTTCCTACCTCAATGCACTCCTTGATAGCTGCCCTCTTCGCCCCACTTCACCCATCCCTACCACCAGTTGCGGCTACTCACCCCTTGATTTGGGCAAGGACATTGCATACTGCGGGCTAACAGGACGGGAGATGGAGGGGCGGGTGTTTGTGGGCCCCACTCACTACCTTCTCTCCCCTATCCTACCCTGCCTTCCCGTCTGTCCTCATCCCATCTAAATCCCCAGCTACTCGCCGTTAGACTTGGGCAAGGACGTTGCATACTGTGGGGAAACGGGCCAAGAGATGGAGGGGAGGGTGTTTGTCGGCCCTACGCACTACCTGCGACTGAAACATCTGGCAGCTGACAAAAGAGCCACAAGGGCCATAGGGACCAAGCAGGTGAGGTGTAGTGATGCGCAGTGACGAGCGGTGCTGTGCGGTGTGTATGGGTTGACAGGGCAGGAGATGGAGGGGAGGGTGTGTGTGGGCCCCACTCACTACCTGCGTCTGAAGCACCTGGCAGCCGAAAAGAGAGCCACACGGGCGAGTGCGAGTGGGGTGCCGTGCGGTTCCATGCGGTGGAGTGGTATGGGCGGTGTTTGTGGGGCCCACTCACCCGTGCGGCTCATCATACCCACCCACTCTCCCACCCACCCATCCACCCACTTTCCGTTTCAGATGACAACTAGACAGCCAACTAAAGGCAGGGCGCAGCAGGGGGGCATGCGGGTGGGGGAGATGGAGAGGGACTGCCTGGTGGCGCACGGGGCAGGGAGCATGCATCTACCCACTCTCACCGCATCCCATCCCTCATTATCCCGTCACTTCCACTATGCGCCCATTGTTACAGATGACCACCCGCCAGCCCACCAAGGGCAGGGCACAGCAGCAGGGGGGGATGAGGGTGGGGGAGATGGAGAGGGACTGCCTGGTGGCGCACGGGGCAGGGAGCATGTAGCATGCATCTACCCACTCTCACCGCATCCCATCCCTCACTACCCCTTCCAACATTCAACAGATGACAACTAGACAGCCAACTAAAGGCAGGGCGCAGCAGGGGGGCATGCGGGTGGGGGAGATGGAAAGAGACTGCCTGGTGGCGCACGGGGCAGCACACTCCCTCTCTGAGCGCCTCTCGCTCCTCTCAGACGCCACCGCTGTTGCTGTCTGCTCTGCCTGCCGCCTCATCGCCTCTGCGGCGGGTGGACCTGGGGGAGGTGCACCTGGGGGAGGTGGTGGTGGTGGCAGTGGTTTTGATGGTTACGCTGTTGCTGGTGCTGCTGGTGCTACTGCTGATGCTGGTGGTTTCGGTAGTTTTGGAGGAGAGGGGAGTGATTGTCCTGGCCCGGCGTGCCAGTTGTGTGGAAGCAGCACAAACACCACAGAGGTATGCCATGTGATGCAACATGGTGGATATGTGGGGTATGTGGCGGCATGTGTGGATGCCTCATGCATGAATCCGCTAGTAGAACAAGCTGCAGGATGCCTCGAGGAGATCACAGTCCCTTGTTTCTCACTCTCCTTTCCAGTTACATCAGGTATTCTCCCTTGTTTCTCACTTGGTGTTTCTACCTCTCTCCACCCTGCTCACCCGTCTTCCACAGGTGTGCATGCCGTATGCCTTGATGCAGCCGTGTGATGTGATGGGATGAGGGCCATGGGGATATCAGTGCAACTGTTTATGCACCTCAACCCCCCCCCGCGCCTTCCTCCCCTCCCCCTCATTCCCCCCCACCCCCCTCTCCACAGGTGTGCATGCCGTATGCCTTGAAGTTGTTGTTTGATGAGATGAGGGCCATGGGGATCTCAGTGCGAGTACAGCCATCCCACTGCTGACTGCTGCGCAATGCTCATGCTTCGAGGCGTGCCAAACGTACCGTAGTTTGTTGTTTGAGGTGCCTCACAGTGCTGTTAGAAGAGCTGAGGCCCATGGGAGTTTCCGTGCGCGTGCAACCATCCCAGTGCTGACCGCTGCTCAAATTCCGTCCTTGAATCAGTTTTGGAGGCACCTTAAAAGTAGTCTTTTGAGGTGCCTCATAATGCTGTTTGATGAGCTCAGGGTCATGGGGATCTCAGTGCGTTTGCAGCCATCCCACTGATTGCTGCTGCTGTTCTCGAATCAAGCATTCCCTCTTTTAGATAAACAACCAGTAGGCTATGCGACAAGAAGGCACTACCGTAGCAAACCAGGTACGGTAAACGAGAGCTGAAAGCAGTCACAGGATATCTATGGTAGGAAGGAATCTCCAACAATCGGGTCCTAATTAGGAACATCACAAAACGGTACCACCATTTAGGTACTAACCAGGCATGGCAAACAACCATGCCCAAAACAAGCACCAGTCACTGCTTGCATTTGCATTGCAGCACTTGCAACTTTGAATGGTACCGGTACGTAGTATGCACTGATTGCACATGCAGGTTGAAATCTCTTCTGAGAATTCTCAAAAGTTTGAACGGTAATAACAAACAGTACTGTACGTATGCATGCACTAATTGCACATGATATGCTGCTTCGTGCTCAGTGCAGAGGATCAGAGCAGCAGCTCATACATAAAGTGCAGCAATATGGGCTGGCTGGCAGTCATAGGTACAGTACTGTCAAAACATATACTTCTCTTCATTTCACTCTAGGTTGTGCAGGGTTTATTACTTACAGGGTACAACCCAAATTCCCTCGATAGTCTTGTACCCCCCCCCCCTTACCTAATCGACATTCTCACCTATCTCCTAGCTTTAACATGGTATTAAGAGCGAAATGCTCCTAAGGATCGAATTTTTTAACGGGCCCACCATTACGATTTCGAACTGCTGCCCGAGTCGCGCCCCTAGGAGAAACCCGAAACGCGAAACGCGCCCTAGGCGAGACGTTTTTCTGCCATAGGCGCGTCCCGTCCCCTAGGCTACCTAGTCACGCGCGACCCCTCCTGACCGCGGCCTAGCTGCCCCGTACGCCACTCGCGCGGCCCGTCAGCCCCTACGCCCGGTCCCCCCCTCGTTCCTGCTGCTGCGCGCGCCACTCACGATACCCGCCAGCCCCTAGCGTGCACCTGCTGCGTGCCCCTTGTAGAGCTGACGCTACTGCTGCTACAGCTAGCGCTACTCACTGCTACTTCTACTGAAGCTAGTGCTGCTACAGCTAGTGCTACTCCTGCTGCTGCTACTACGGCACTTGCTACAGCTGCTACTGACGCTACTGCTGCTACAGCTAGCGCTACTCACTGCTGCTACTACTGAAGCTAGTGCTGCTACAGCTAGTGCTACTCCTGCTGCTGCTACTACCGCACTTGCTACAGCTGCTACTGACGCTACTGCTGCTACAGCTAGCGCTACTCACTGCTGCTGCTACTGAAGCTCCTGCTGCTACAGCTAGTGCTACTGCTGCTGCTGCTAGTACGGCACTTGCTACTGCAGCTGCTGCTTCGCTGCTGCGCCTGAACTGCTGCTGCAGTGCTGCTGCCGCCTGCACTGCCCTGCTACTGCTGCTGCTACTTGCTGCAGCTGCTCCTCCTTGCTGCTGCTACTTGCTGCAGCTGCTCCTCCTTGCTACTGCTGCTGCTACTTGCTGCAGCTGCTCCTCCTTGCTGCTGCTGCTGCTGCTACTTGCCGCTGCTGCTCCGCCACTGAGCCCGAACCGCGCCGCCCAGTCCGAGCCGCGCCGCCCAACCTGAGCTGTCACTGCTGCTGCTGCTGCACCTACTGCTGCTACAGCTAGTGCTACTCGGTCTACTGCTGCTGCTGCTGCTGCTGCCCGAGCCGCCCTGCTACTGCTGCTGCTGGAGGGAGTCCTGCTGGGAGTGGTGGAGGTGCGGCCTCCCAGCCCCACCGAACCGCCCTGCTGCTGTTACTACTGCTGCTGCTGCTACTTGTGCTACTGGGAGTGGAGGAGATGCTGCTGGGAGTGCAGGAGGTGCTGCTGGCGCTGTAGGAGCTGGAGGTGCTGGAACTACTCCTGACAGTCACTGTCTGTCATGGCCACTTCCGCGGCAGTTGCTGCGGCCAGGGGTGGACAGCAGCAGGCACTGCTTCTCCCGGACGACCCCACCCCTCGGCAGCTTCGTGAGTGGGTTATTCAGCGAGGTCGTCCTGGTGGTGGAGGTTATCGTTCTGTTAGGACCGCTGCTCCAGGTGTTAGTGAGTCTGCTGCCACTCCAGGTGCTAGTGAGTCTGCTGCCGCTCCAGGTGCTAGTGAGTCTGCTGCAGCTCTAGGTGCCCGTGAGTCTGCCGACGCTCTAGGTGCTAGTGCGTCTACTGCCACAGGTCCTGCCTCAGCTGAGGTCTTGCACACTTTCACGCTTGACTCTGGCGCGTCACGTTGCTTCTTTCGTGATTGCACCACAGTCACACCACTCACAGCACCTGTCCCAGTCTCACTGGCTGACCCCTCTGGGGGCCCGGTAGTTGCGAGAGCCTCCACGGTCCTCCCTTGTCCAGCAGTCCCCTCCGGCTCTTTGTCAGGTCTCCACCTCCCCACGTTCTCGACGAACTTGGTGAGCAACGCTGCCATTCAGGATGTCTGGGTTGATACCTTTATTCCTGGAGGGCAGCGTGTGGCGATCTGTACGTGCTCCCGGACTGGCCGTCACCTGGCTACGTTCACTCGACAGCCTGGGTCTAGTCTGTACACACTGACCACTGCGTCTGCACAGGTGGCTGAGTCAGGTCAGGTAGCTGCGTCGAGTCGAGCGTCTGCGTCAAGGCAGTTAGCTGCGTCTTGCTCGTGCAGAGTACTCACGCACGAGACTCAGCGCTGGCATCACCGTCTTGGTCACCCCTCCCTGCAGCGTCTGCGCGGCATGCACTCCCGGCTCCTGGTCACTGGCCTCCCTGAGACCCTGCCCCCCCTCCCGCGCTCACTTGCGCCGCCGTGCCTTCCTTGCGTCGAGGGGCGGCAGCGCGCCGCTCCTCATTCCTCCGAGTTTCCTCCGACCACTGCTCCTCTGCAGACTCTCCACCTGGACGTGTGGGGCCCGGCCCCCATCGGTGGGACGGACCAGGAGCGCTACTTCCTGCTGGTTGTTGACGACTACACACGCTACACCACAGTCTTCCCCTTGCGTCGCAAGGCGGACGTCAGCGGTGTTTTGATCCCCTGGATCCGTGCTACTCGTCTCCAGCTACACGAGCGCTTTCAGCAGGACTTCCCAGTCCTGCGTCTGCACTCTGACAGGGGTGGTGAGTTCTCTTCTGGCGTCCTTGCAACGTTCTGCCAGGATGAGGGCATCGCCCAGTCGTTCACGCTTCCGGCCTCTCCGCAGCAAAATGGGATCGCTGAGCGTCGCATTGGCCTGATCATGGAGGTTGCTCGTACCTCCATGATCCATGCGGCTGCTCCCCATTTCCTGTGGCCGTTTGCGGTCCGATACGCCGCGCATCAGCTTAACCTCTGGCCCCGTGTCTCTGCTCCAGAGACCTCGCCCACACTTCGTTGGACGGGACAGCCTGGTGATGCGTCGTCGTTTCGGGTCTGGGGCGCGCTCTCCCTTGTTCGCGATACCAAAGCGAGCAAGCTCTCTCCTCGCACTCTCCGCTGTGTCTTCCTGGGCTTCCCCACCGACGCTCCACCTTGGCAGTTCTACCACCCTGCCTCGCGTCGTGTTCTGTCCTCTCAGGACGTCACCTTCGACGAGTCGGTCTGTTACTACCGACTTCACCCGCACGCGTCCCACCCGGTCCCCCTCGCACCTCTCTTCTTGGTGCCAGTCCCCCCCTCGGTAGACCCCCTTCCCCCACAGGGTCCTGCTCCCTCAGGTGTGTCCCAGGTAGACCCACCCCCCTTGGATGAGCCTGTTGAGATCTCTTCTGACTCCTCTGACTCACCTGAGGGGGGTGACGCCGTCGCCTACGACACGGCGACCACTCGCCGCACTCCTCGCTTGGAGACCCCCCGGGTTTCCCGCCACGGCCGTCTTCGCCGCTTCCGCAGCCTGCTGCTGTGGACTCTGGAGCTGAGACTTCTGGAGCTGGGGCTGGGGGTGGTGAGTCTGGGGGTGCCCGCTCTCCTCGTCTGGCTACCCCCCCCGGGTTCCCACCTCTGCCGTCTTCGCCGCCTCTGCAGCCTGCTGCTGTGGACACTGGAGCAGAGACTGAGGGTACTGAACCTGGGGGTGCTGGGACTGAGGGTACTGAGCCTGCGAGTGCTGAGACCGAGAGTCCTGACTCTGGGGGTGCTGCGAGTTCGGGTGCTGACTCTGGGGGTGCTGCGAGTTCGGGTGCTGACTCTGGGGGTGCTGCGAGTCCGTCTTGTGTTGGTGTCGTCGGAGCTCCTACCGGAGGACCTGGAGCTGCTGGTGCTGGAGAGCCTGGGGGTGCTGCTAGTGCTGGAGGTCGTGGAGCTGCTGGTGCTGGAGGTACTGGAGGTGCTGCTTGTGCTGGAGGTCGTGGAGCTCCTGGTGCTGGAGGTGCTGCTGGGGCTGGAGGTGCTGGAGGTCCTGGTGGAGCTACTCGAGGTGCTGCAGGTGCTGGAGGTCGGGGAGCTGCTGGTGCTGCTGGTCCTGGAGGTGCTGCTGGTGCTGGAGGTACTGGAGGTGCTTCTGGTGCTGGAGGTCATGGAGCTGCTGGTGTTGCTGGTACTGGAGGTGCTGCTGGTGCTGGAGGTGCTGGAGCTGCTGGGGCTGGAGGTGCTGGAGGTGCTGGAGGTCCTGGTGGAGCTACTGGTGCTCTTCGCCACCTTCTCAGTCTTCAGCCAGGTGCTACTGGCTTCCCAGTGGCAGGTACTACTCCTCCGTTGCTGTGTCCACCGGCGGACCAGTCACAGCCACCGCTGCTACCACACTCCCCACTGCCTGCTCCTGCTCCTTACACTGCGGTGTCAGAGTCCCTGACTGAGCGTCGAGAGCCTGAGACTCGTGCTTCCACCCCTGAGTGTCGAGAGCCTGAGTCTAGCTTTGACCTTGAGCCTGAGCCTAGAGCTGCTGTCCGTGCTCGTGTTCCTCGTGTTCGTCGTCAGCGTGCTCCGGTTGTCCCCGGCACTCACGATATGACACTCCGTCCTTCCTCTGTTCCTCAGCGTGTTGTCCTACCGTTACCTCCTGCGTCCTCTCTGCCTGACGTTGCTGACCCTCCGTCTGACCTTGCTCGTGCGTCCAGTCCGACTGTTACTCGCCTTCTTGCTACGGTTGTGACGGACCCTTCGTTCTCGTC